TGTAACTTCTGTCGGTGTTGTGCTTTTGGAAACCGAATTTCCCAGAGGAACCCACCTGAGGGATTAATAAAGTTTTATCTTATCTTATCCGAGTGTCCTTATTGTCTGCATTCAAATGTTCTGGAAGAATAAAGATTTGGTTGGTTTTGCTTGTGTTTATTTAGCATTAGTTAGCAATGCTAATACCGATTTCTGGCGATCTAAAAAATGGGATGTTCTGATATATCGGTGAAAAAACACATTTCCCTATGATTTACTATGTGTAGTTATTTTAATTACACATTTATGTGTAATTACCTGACTATACCTAGAACAGCCGTTTATTGTTTCTGGTTTTCTTAAAAAATGCATTTGGAACACCAGCAACAAGGCTGAATGGTGTTGAAGGTTGTTCCAATCTCTTCTTTACTTTTTAAAATGTTCATTTATCTGATATAAAAAAAGATGAGTTTCGTTCATCCATCCAGATTCAAGTCTAAGCAAAGATGCCCAGATTTACATCTACCCAGCTGCTTCTTCCATTCAGTTTATTCTGGGAGACTTTAACGCATTCCCAAGCCAGCCAAGAGATATAATCTCTCTAGTGTGTCTTGGATCTTCACCAGGTAGTCCTACTGGTGGGACATGAAACACCCTATATAGGTGGTGTCTGGGAGGTATCCTTGTCAAATGTTCAAACCACGTCAACAGGCTCCTTTTGATGTAGATGAAGAGTAACAGCTCTACTTCAAGCTCTTTCCAAATAATCGCGCTCCTCACCTTATCTTTAAGGGTGAAGAAAGATTATCCACAACCTCAATCTTGTTGTCACTACACAGAGTTTGTGGGTCTATGATCTCAGATTTGGAGGTGCCAATTCGCTTTACACTCAGCAGCCCCACTGCAAGCTGGGGGTCAAGAAGTCAAATGAATCCTATGCCAATACAGTTTCAGTTAGACGTTAGCATCCACTTATTTTATTGAGCTGTTCTTTTCCCAGGGTGGAATCATTGTGCATACATCTTTAATGACTTATTAAAGAAAACAAAAAGAAAATTCACATTTGTTTTGGATTTTCTTTCATCCACACAGCGCTAAAAGTATAAATATACGATATAAGATTTGGTTGAATGTCCCTTTGGATGTTACAAATTGACTGGACACTTCTGGTAGCCATAAAGAAAAGTCTGACATAATTCTGGATGGATATTTGACCACTTTTCTTGGCAGAATATTAAGCGTTAAATTAAATTGATTGGCATGGGTTTTTTAAAACTATTCCACAGATTTTTAACAGGTCTGGGGTTGGTGTGTTAGGAAAGCTATTCCAAAGGTTTTATCATTTCCAACACCAGTTTTGATGTGTACATGGGATGATGTTCCTATTAAGAATTATTAACTTGTATAAATTCACAATTCTCCTTAGAACTTCACTAAGTTTACTTGATTTTCCCATTATTCTCAGTGTGGGTCACTGCAATGAATGCTGTCACAGAGAAATTACGAAAGAGTAGTCAATCATGATAGCTAATCAAAAACAGACCGTGTCAAGTTAAAACATACTGCACCATCTATTAAAAGATTATATTTGACACTGTATGTATACTTTTTAACCTGTGAGGATTACATGAAATCCCCCCAAAAATACATGATGAGTGAATGTAAACTTCTGACCACAACTGAAGTCAGTAATATTCAATTCAATTTTATTTTATTTATACAGCGCCAAATCACAACAACAATAGCCTCAAGATGCAAGCACTTTGGCGACAGTGGAAAGGAAAAACTCCCTTTTAACAGGAAGAAACTTCCAGCAGAACCGGGGTGGCCATCTGCCATAACTGGAGACCATAATACTGGCCTAACAATAATAGGTTTTACCTGCCTCTTGTCAACTGATTGAGTTAATCCTTTCTCTTCCAGACATTTTGAAAAATAGCAGCCGCAGAAAACGTAGCAAAATATAGACATGGAAGAAATGAACACCACTGAACAGCCTATCACAACCACTGCAGACCGCATCATCCATCATGTAGTTACATTTTGGGGGCAGTGCATGTTAGGCTACAGCATCAGTTACAGCAAAGGGGTTCAGAAGGGTTTGTGGCTACGCTGTACCTATAACCTAGTTTTAACAAAGTATAATTTCACTGTCAGACTGAGTGAAAGAAGTGCAACTGTAAATGACAGCAGTATACTGTTGCGTTATATTTGCCTCACAAGTCAGATGTTGCACCAAGTTTAACAGTTTTACTGCTTTTTCGTGCATTACAGCCAGATTATCAAGTCAGGGTTGGTGAGGGTTGCTCCAACTTTACTAACTGGTTCAACCACTTTATGCTTAACCATACAACCCTCACACCAAGCTGAAATTACACTGAATATTAGAGGTGGGAATCACGATACATCCCACGATACGATATTATTGCAATTTTTTAAAAATATTTTGCGATATTCAGATTCTGTACATAAAGGTAAACTTTATCAATATTCATTTTATCTAATATCAAAGTCTCGCACTCAGTCTTTCTCTCATTTCAGTCAGTTTTATTGTTGACAAACTGAACGGTTTGTATTACAGTCTAGTCCAACTTAACTGAATGCAACCATCTGGTACAACTATAGCTATTCTGAACTATGCAATTTATGAAAACTATGCAGCCCATTCAGCAACTGAAGAATTTGAAAGTTAATTAAAACAAAATATAATTTTACATTAAATAAAAAAGTTTTAAACTTAATTAAAATAAAACATGTCTTAAATTAAAATACGTAAACTGTCATGTTTATTGCTACCAAAAAAAAGTTAAACACATTTGGACAGTGAAGGAATGTCAGGATTCTTGCTCAGAAAAAGGATCAACATGCTCTGAAGTCAGAGCATGTTCCAGTCCACAAAAACCTTTTTTGTAACAAAATATCGATTTCTGCTGTCCCTGTATCGATACATTATTAGCAAACAAAATATCACGATACTACACAGTATCGATTTTTTCCACCACCCCTACTGAATATCTACTTTAATTTGTTTCACTGTTAGCCTTTTGTAAAATAAAATGTATTAATTTAAAAAAAAACTGTAAAATTAGATTGCTGTATGCATTTACTCGCTACATTTATTTTATAAACTCAGAAAAAGAATGTTTCAGTGAAGGCTGATGTTCCCTGGATGGTTTCCAGTCTCTTCCACACACTGACTGGAGCTTATTGAACACTGGTACTGGATTGGTACTTGGCACCGGTAGATACCCCTCAAAGACAGATGAACAACGACCTTAATGGAATATTAGTGCCTAGTACAGACCAGGCCTTCCCTTCATCCACCCCAACTCACAGCTATTTACGCCAGGCCGAAGCAGCTCGCCGAACGCTGTTTCACAGAGCATGAAACCGCTTGTTTCGACAGGATTCGGTGATTTGGAGCCATCCACTCAAGCTCAGAGACCGAGAAAATAAACAGACACTTCACGTTACTGTAAGCGACGAGAACAGTGGGTGTTCTGAACAAACGGCCTAATTCATGTTTTAACACAAAACATGAATGTCATTATTACACCGCCGCTGGTCGGGTTTAAAGTATACTCGCTAATATTATTACCTGCTTCATTCTCCCATGCTAGAGCTCAGGAGCAGCTCAAGTACAGAAGCTCAGTCCGGAAAATGGAGCATCTCACCTCCAAAAATCTTCATGGTCGTCGGTGTAGAGAAAGACACATAACTGCTGATGTGCCCGAGAAAAACCCTGTTTTAGCTTTTTTTTTTTTTTTTTTTAAATATATATATATTGGCAACAGCGCGACGGCCGGTGATGCCACCACCTCCACAAATGAAGCCTCAGAAGAAAAAAAAGTGAAATCTGTGTTTGGTCAGAACGGCTTTGTTTCCAGCAACAGCTGCTTATCCGCGGCGGGAAAACGGAAGGTTTCCTGCTCGAATCTTTGTTTTCCTTCGTCCATATGTGAGGTGTGAACGGCCCATCCTCCACTGACAAATGTACCAGTGTCACTGTATGTGAGCGTCTACTGTACGGAGCCCAGATTTTCCTCATACGGTTCTAAACTACTCTCACTGGCTGCTGCCTGCGAGAAGGCGCAGACACCCACTACTTCCTATATTGCCTTTCAAAATAAAGAACTAGTTGTGTTTTTTTAAATAGTGTTTTTGAGTGGATGTAAAGTTGATTTGGTTGTTTTCATGTGGTTTATGTTATAAACAGTACACCTAAAAAGCTCTTAAATGCTGTTGCAGTTGTCCCACCTCAACCTTCCGCATGGTATAAACAGTTTGCTGCCTCGCGCTGAAAATCATCTGATGAGGATTTTTCAAAAACAAGTTTTTCTTGTAAAAGTCCCACTTTATTTGTAATTGCAAATTTTGTCACATATCGTTAAAAAAAATTAAATGTGTATGAATAGGGTTTTTTTTTAAAGATTGTGTTGAAAAATAAATAGCTAAGCTTTAACTCAAAAATAAATTTCATGGCGTATGGCTAAATTGTTGTTTCTGCATTATTTTGAAGATAAGGCTACACAGTTTCCGGTAAGGTTTGCGTTCCTTGATAACTGACATACACATAATGTCATGGGCAAAAGTGGATATTCCTAGTGAGGTGCCCCGTTTCGAGCACCGTCCAATATAAAAGATAGACTGTGCAAGTGGGGCGTGGCTTGTTTTAGCGGAAGTGCTTTTTGGGGCATGTGCGGATGCATGCAGTGGGTGGTAAAGATAACAAAGACAGTACATTAGCTCTAAAGTAATCACGGTGTTTTCAGGATATTGTGCAGTGTGGCTGGACGGTACAAGAAATTCAATTATTTGAAGATTTTTTTTTCCCTTTTATTTGAAAAATTGTGCGTATATGCAGCAGATGGTATAAATGGCACAGGATTGTTTTCACTCATAAATATACTCCATGATGTGGCTCCATGAATTCTACATTAAAATGCATTAAAAACAGCCCCATCCATAGAACTTTGGACCCACGTGTTAGACAACACTCATCTCCTTTGTCAGCAAAACAACATTTCCGAGCATCACTGTCTTACCTGGAATGCTGAGTAATCCAGATCTGTGACACTGGTGAATGGGGTGGATGGAGTCAAAAAAAAAAGTCAACAGAACAAATGTCAGTGAGTTCATATGTAGTAATAAACAGCTACGTTTTAGACACGACACTGTCTAAGAACATTTCAACAAGTTAGAAACAGACTGCTGCTGTTTGTTGTCTTTTGTGTGTGGTTTGTACAGTGGAATTACTCTCATCATACAAGCCTGTATACAAGCACAGTATCAGCAAACAGGTCTTTAACTACTACAAGTAACAGTATTAGAGGAACTGCACTTTCATTCCAAGGCTATAGCTTTCATTATTGGATAATAACTCTGAAACAGGACAAACTAGAGCTACATTTGACTCCTTATGTGAACCCAATTCAAAAGTTAAACAGTAGAATCTTAAAGTGGTCTAAAATAGAAATATGTATTTATTACCACAGATAGTGAATTGTATGCAGAGGTACAGAGGTGGAGTTAGCCATTAGCTTAAAACAATAATAGCACTAAATTTGCACCGTTTTATCATGTGATCTGCATTGTTGAAAAATAAAACCTGACCTATGATCTTTTGTATTTTCATCTACTACTGACCTGCGTTTAGATATGCGATTTAGTTCAATGCCTCCACAGACTATATATAAAAGATGGAAGCTGAAGTCAAAAATAAATTCTGTATCTGATTAGCAAAATATGAGAAAAAGACTTTTTAGCTCCCTTGACCCATTTCCTCATAAATTATGGTTACTTTTTTACTAAGAACATCAAACTTTAGTTCATGTTTGACTCACATACAAATCCACCCCTCACTCAATATGTATTTGACAACATCAAGATGGTGTTTGCTAAAATATTCAAGGGTTCAAACCATGACTTTACTATCAACTGGCAACATCACAGTTGGCTACACCCAGTTTTGTTAACGAGGTCTGTTAAGGCTAATGTCTGTTTTCAATGACGCTCAGTATTGATGTTAAAAAATGTCACAGAATTACTAATTTTCTATAAAAGTGACATGTGTTTTCTACCCAGGAGAGGAGTTCTATATACCTTAACAAGTTCAGCTGTGCACCAGAAGCAGGTAACTGTAAAACTGTAATCACATGAACTTCAATACTGACTGATGATGACACAAGGACAAAAAAAAAAAAAAAACGTAAAACTGGATTAATAAAGAAAGCTGATAACCACACACAAAACAGCATTTATCCCTGAAGTTCTTGGTTTTGCCAAGGCTTTTGTCAGGCAAGCTTGGTTACGTCAAGCTGGGTTTTTGGTGCACCCCCCAGGTCACAGGAAGAGATGCTAATTAGAGAAGTTCCTCCTGCTAATTGTATCTTTGGATCAGGTTTCCTGACTGAGATGCCCAGGGGACTTATAGTTATGCAAGTTATGGGAATCCCAGCGCTAACTGTGCTAGCCTTTTCCATTTGCTTACTGTCTTTATGCTAAACTAGGCTAATCACATCCTGACTCTCATATAACTCAAATATGAGCCTGTCCATCTGAATGTCACTCTATGAAGAAAATCTAGTAAATATGCTTTCCAAACTGAATGAGCTGAATGACTCCTTTTGATGTATCCACCTGCATAATGACATCACCCAGTTTTAGACTGTTTTATTTTCATCAGATAACCAACCAATAGGATTGCAAAGAAGATTAAATATCTAGAATTATTCTCATGTTTATTGTAGGGGTGTTTTGTATATCGCAGTATGTCCCATGAAATTTCCTATGATCTCATCTCCATGTCAGCAATATGTAATGTCCAAGCTTTCAATCAGCTCATTCTTGCAGTGACAAACACTGAAAAGCATAAATAAATTAAATACGCTGTCATTTTCCACAGAGATGTCAGAGACTCTAGTCCTACGAAGCCTTTATCTGCTTGGTGTTTTTAGTCTTGGGTGGTATGATCTCAACCTTGAAGGGGACAAAGAAATCTAAAAGAGCTTTTGTTTCTTTCAAGTCCAGAGAATACTCTTGTGCGATCTTTTCGGGACTCCACGTCTGAGGCTGATGCTGGTGGCTGCCCACAGCCTTGAGAGCCTCGGCAATGGTCAGTTTACCAATGGGAACATCTGTGAGCTCCACCAGGCCCAGCGGAGATGCTGGGACACTGAACTTAAGAAGTCGTCGCTGTTCTCTCCCCGCCGTCACGTCCTTCGATACCTGAGGGAAGAACAAGCAGTGAAGAATAACTATTATGAATAACAAAAATCAACATTTAAAAACTTTTGGCCAGTGCACATGCAAATCCCACACAGGAAAGTCAGGTTTGAAGTTAGGAAATTAGCCAATCTGTCATTCACAAGTTCAAAAAGTCCCCTATCGCAACACAGCAAGGACGTCCACCTTACCTTTATGATAATTTGTGGCATAAAGGTAACCTAATTACATTTGCAATCATAAATGTAACAAATAATGCTAACAGATTTTTTTAATTATTAATCTAACAGATACCGAGTCCATCATTTATACTCTTAGATGCATGCATTAGTTAGATTTTATTTTACAGAGTCAGGAAAGAATATGTACTGTCTGATGCTATCTTAAATCTGAAAAAAATGACTTCCAGTCTCAGCGTCAGCAATATTAAGCTTATTATTTTAACACTCTTATTGGAACTTTAACATAACTGGACAAAACTGGATTAGTGCATGCCTAACATGCATCTACATATTCAGTTGTTCCCTTTGAAATGTCTTGTCCTCTGGACCACATATGGATGAGATATGAACAGCTATGAACAGATAAAAGGTCAAATTCAAGTAATGTGGATGCACATGAATATTTGACTATTCTGATTAAGAAATAGAAGCACAGTCACAGCTGTCCTCCTGCCATCATCCAGCTATGGACAGCCATGGTGGTATAAATTGGTCTGGCAGAGCTACAGAGGATTCAACTCTTCTTTTTCAAATTAAAAATTAAAAACTGAAAATAAAACTGATTCATTACAACACAGCCAAGCCTAGAATCATGGGAGCTGCAGGTGATTTATCACTGGTGGCTCACTACCATCAACATGGTTTGTTTGATGAGTGTTGATTAGGTTTTTAAATTTCTGTCACCTGATTACAAAGACTTTGATGGATAATTCTAAAACAATTTTAAAAAGAATTTTTTTTTTTACTTGTGAGCACAAAAGCTCGACCTATTCTTTACGAGGACCAGTCAATTAGAAGAAAACAGTCTTAAAGGGAGCAGCAGGAGATTAGGCAGCTTGTTTCCAGACAGCAGCTGAACAGAGCAAAGACTATTTTTGAACTGTGTTCATGCAAAGCAGAGTCCAAGCATGAAACATATGCAGCTGGCGATGATAATGATAGTTCCCTTTTAACAGCCAGTGTTAATCAATAATGTCTTTCTTTATTCTTCATAACACAGAATACATGAATGTCTCAACTTTGCAAAGATTCGACCGGTAAACGTCTGAATGACCCAAACTGAGAGCAAAAACACTGACAAACAATGAGTGATTGAGCAGAGCTGATGTAACACCATTCAAACACTCAGGCAGTGTCAGTCTGACCTCTGCTGCAGCCGGTGCTGGATCTCTGGACTCCACGTACACGGACCTGAGGTGGTCCAGCAGCGGCGCGTTATTCTGGTTCAACGAATCCACTTCTGAAAAACACAAACCGACGTGAGAATCGTCCCCGAGCTTTCTGAGGACACACGGATGAACGGTGAGCCTACCATGACCCCGGGTTAACTGTTACACAAGCCAGCTAGCACTCACTCACTTACCCTGCGGGCTGGAGGCTGTCGGTGGAAGCTTAACCGAGTGCCGGGGCGCCGCTCGCGGCTTGTCCTTGGAAAGTTCTCGGTGCACTCGGTTTTCCAAGTTGTAATTCCTGAACACACGCGTAACCCGTGCACCCATGTTTAACAAATTGTCAAAGCCCGCTATGAATAAAGTTGATTCAAACTGCCGACGGCGAGCGAGAAGGTTCTTTTTACAGGCGGAAATGTGAAAAGCGCAGAGGAAGCAGCAGCGACACCGTGTGGTTGGATGAGTTTATTGTTCCCCGTGTCTTTTTTTCAATTGCCAAACGTAAGGATGCTGGATACAGGTCTTAGTTAACTCAATAAATTAAGAAATAAATAATTAGTCTCATAATTTAATTGAGTGTTTTTAATAAAACATATCTTTTTGTTTTGTTGTAAAAACCTGACTGTCAGTTTTAACAAGAAGAATCGTGATCTGAATGCACTGTTGTGTCAAACACACTTGCTTTGCCACGTGATAAACTCTTTATAGGCTCCTTTTAAGAGTTATTGTATTATTAAAAAAAGAATTGTTCACATTACCATTTGTGCTGTTTAACAGTCAGTGTAAAACAGAAGAAAGGAGAGTGACAGAGAGAAGAAAGAAGAGAGAAAGAAAAATAAATAGGAGAAAATCTAAATACAAAGGACACAGCGTAAGTAAAGTAAGTGTATGTGTATGTTTGTTTGTTACAAAACATACTTAACAATTAGGGTGAGAAGCCAACTATGTCTCCAAGGAGCCCTACTGAAGATGCAAGGCCATATTCAATTCAATTCAATTTTATTTATATAGCGCCAAATCACAACATAAGTCGCCTCAAGGCGCTTCATAGATACAGAGAAAAACCCAACAATCATATGACCCCCTATGAGCAAGCACTTTGGCAACAGTGGGAAGGAAAATCTCCCTTTTAACAGGAAGAAACCTCCGGCAGAACCAGGCTCAGGGAGGGGCAGGGCCATCTGCTGCGACCGGTTGGGGTGTCCTAAACTTTGTTTTATCCAATAAGATAAACTTATCTCACTTTGTACTCATTAAAATTCAAAACAATAAACTCACTAGGACAGTGTTTATTGAGGTCAAGAGATCCAAGGGTGGTTTTCCATATGGCCATGAAAGAATCTTCTGTTTCCAGGCACTTTTCTTTTCCACTATTTAATTCCCAAAACTATCCATCTTTATATACACAGCAGAGTAAACCCAAGAAAGGATCTAGGAGATTTAGTAAGAAAAAAGCTTCAGACAGCCTGAGCTTATGGTGTCATTGATCACTTTGTATAGATCAGTTATAACCCTAAAATGTCCAGCAGAGGGCAGCATTTAATACTCTATCACATTCTAAGTGGGGTTATATGGCTGGCCTCTTTTTGAGGTTCAAGCTCATCAGACATGTTTTTCAAACATGAACTGAACTGACCCGTCAGGCCTGGCACAGGGAGGCTTTATTTGTTATTGAAGTAAAGGAAATAAATAAGCATTTAAACAGGTCAACAGAAGCCGGTCTTCATGTAAGGAAAGATGCTGGGAACACATCTGGAGGTAATTATCTACTCAATCATAAAGAAACAGCTCACAGTATTTTTGTGAGGAGTGGAGGAATCAGCTCCCAAACTGGGAGCTGATGGAAGTCAATAAAAGGCCAGCCAGTGATGTTTCAGTTACATCAGCTACTGTCTTGAGGTAGGTTTTATTCCAAAACAACAACAAAACAGTGCAGCTGGAATATGAGAGCTGCTGAAGACTGCTTATCATTGTTGACTCAGCAGATAATGTGACAACTCCAAATATTTCCTCCTCCACCACTTTCTGCTACAGTGTTTAGAGACAAGCTGGGCTCATGATGTGTGCAATGGAATGGCATTGTGGAGACTACGAATGAGGCAGAACAGGCATATTTCAGGGGGTGCCGGGGTCATTCCACATGTGTTCATCTGGAGCTGAACAATAACGCAAACCAGGTGCCAAAAAACAGCAGTTCCTCTAATGTCCAAAAAAGAAAGTCAACCACCCATTTTTAAACACACAAACATTTCACAGCCTGATAGAAAACATCAGTTTTGGCCTTTGTGGTTAATTTCTCCTTTCATAGCAACTGTATATTTTCAGGAAAGGCTCAAGGTTAAGGGTGTGGCTGCTTTATTGATATGTTAGTCCACACCTCTACTAACTAGCATCCCTGAATTAGACCACACAGACTGTTTGTACTTTTAGTATCTTTTGGAAAATAAACTTTTAATAGGACTATCTGACAAATAATATTGTGCATTGTGTGCTAGAGATGGTCCAAGAAGTCTGTTACCTAACAATAATTATCAGATGAATGTGTCTGTGCATTACATCTGTATAGTTTATAAATACAGCTTTGCTAGCTAAGCTATGATGTGTTAGTTGAGAACTTAGCACTGTGTATGGTCACTTCACTGGGCCAAACTCTAATGTTACACCAAATTACAACCCTGTCAGCCAACAGTACATGAAAAAAATAAGTGATGTAACACACTGAAGTGTTGATCAGCATTTGATTCCACAGCTGTAATGGCGCAGTGGCCATAGTACTGCTCATACTGTAACACGCTTACAGGACACAACACACAGCGAATTGAAACTTCTGCATGTTCTAACTTTATTTACAAATGGTAAAAAAAAAGAGAGACCAAAAAATATATTTTCGCTTTAACATAAAATATATACATTTACAAGTGTTGCTATCAATTCTGTAGAGCAAGACAAATCTCAAGTACAAATGTGGAGATGGCATTGTAGTTGAGAACACCTTCACACAGATCTCTAAAGCTCCACAGAAGCTTATTACATTAGAGGTGGTCTCCTCTTATCTTGGCAATTCAAACATTCCTACTTGGAATCACTGCTTTTCCTAAACAGACACTCATTACATCCCACAGAATTAAAGCCACTGTTAGAAACAGCCAGAGACTTCAAGAATACCCACATGGAAAAGACAAAACTCTTACAGTAAATGTTTATGTATACTGCATGTCTCATACTATGATTTTTCTGTGAGATGACAAAAAAAAGACTACTGTTTTTTCCCATAAGTGTACACTCATTACCAGAATGCAGTCCTGATCTATAGATCAGTAATCAATAAGTAGCCCTGAGGTAAGTGTGTGATTTTGGGCTGTGTAAGTACAGAACTTTAAAATTTATATCACAATATTAAAGTCAACATTCCAAGATTGTTTTGTACACAAAAAAGTTCAAATAAAAATCTTCAAATGCTAAAAAGTTGTTTTTATTCAAATAAAACAAATTATTAGAAGTATATGTGGGTGGGGGCGGGGTTTAAAGTTTCTGCCAGTGTTTCACAAAGCTGACTCTCTGCCAATCCTGAGTCAGGGAATGTTTCTCAGACAAAAGCAACAAACATTAAATTAGCTCATGCAAATTAATTATCTAACATTACCATTTACTGTTTTTTATACATATAAAAATGAGAAAATAAGAGTAAAATCTGGTATAAATTCTGTGCCTAATCAAAACATGGATTCATCCACTGTGGAAATAAGGGAGGAGCTGAAAATACACCATGGATACCTTTAGTGCCCTCCCACTGGCACATATATGCTGCTTTCTCTTTGTGCTTGAAATGAAAAATAAACACACCACAAACAAACTATCTATTATTCTGATTCTGTATTTCAAGTTCATTATTTACCTGAGCAGTCTGACATCATTACAGCTTTCATCAGCCTAGCACTCTTTAACTTGGCGTTTACAGCTCCATGTGGGTATTGCAGTACGAGAAGATGTTATGGTCAATGTTTGTACCATGATTTCATTCTTGGCTACAAATCATGAGATTAGGAGCAAAACTTGCCTGACTGATACCATCTGTAATGTTACAAGATGCTCATACTATGTGATGGAAGCTGGATTTGTGATTTAACTTTGTCTCACACCATCAACACTTTTCTTGTAAAATTAATCTTTGAACCTTCCACCTTTTTCCCATTTTTTTCTTGAAATCTCAGTTCTGTTTTATGGAACAGTGGCCTTACTATCCTGTCATAAGACCTGGCTCAGAGTGAGGTGTGAGGTCATTCAAACTGCACACGGATCAGCTGGCGTGCTCAGTACACTCGTGATGTCAGCACTGCGTGTGAGAGCAGGAGGAGTACAGGTACAGCAGGATGAAGCAGTCGATCAGAAGGATGCTGTAGAAACATCTCTGTGTGTACAGACTCCGACCCCTCTTAAAGCCAGTCAGCAGTACAGCCAGCATTAAAAAGAAGGTGGCCATGTTCAGGAGGAGGAACAGGCGTATGTAGGAAGCCGTGCTGGGTAAACTGTCGCTTCCTGCTGTGGCGACCATGTGAACTTCCTTGAATTTGCGACCCTTGAAAAAGCCCCCCTTTCTGTTCTTGCGGCTGTCTGCGTAATCCACAAAGGCCCGCGTATCTGCATCGCCCTCTTCTGGACTGTCATCATATGTGCGCTTTGAAGTTCTCTGTCTCTCTTTCTTTTCGTTCACCTCAATCTGTGCAAAAATGTCAGGTAGAGTCTCTGAGAGCTTATCTCCGAGGTTCACTCTCTTCCCCCCCTTACCTTTGCTCTGTTTTCTGGACATAGCGAACATCTTCTCAATGGCTTCCTCCGTCTTCTTCTTGTCAGTGAACTGGAGGAGGCGCTCTGCTGTCTTTCGGAAGCTGACGGTGTTGAGGACCCGTCCAAGGATGTGCCTCTCCATCTGCTGGAAGACGGGCTTGACGTGTTGGAGGTTGTCCTCCATTAGGCTGACGTATTCCTCCACTTCCTCCGGAAAGCTGCTAACCTCAGCTGCTTCCTTCTCAAATACGATCTTCTTGTTGTCCAATAGCACCATGGCAAAAAGTGGCTTGCTGGTGACCTCTGCAGTCAACAGGTAAATTGTGTAGATGTGTTTCTTGGTGGCCAGGTAGATATCGACCCTCTCATTATCCCCACGCAGGCTAAAGCTCTGCACATCCACACCTGGTCCAAAGAAAATGTAGGCCATCCTAGTGTGAGGGTACCTCAATGGCATTGTGACATTCACATAGTTGGAGCCATTATAAGGGTATCCTCGAGGGTAATTCCAGTACCCTACCACCCCTTTGTTACTGTAGTTTGTGTCGTCCATCCAGAACATCTTATATTTATCCTCCCCGTGTGATATAAACGCTCCATGAACACCATCTACCTTTGTACCTTGGAATGGCAGCTCTGTGTTGTGAAAGAAGGCACTCATGGCACGGACAGGGCTGTCAGGATCCAGGTGGATGTGGTCGACAACAAGCAGGAGCTGTGGATGAAGAAGGAGCAGGTTCCTCTGGACATTCCTGATCTTCAGTTCTGGATTGTAAGCAGAACTTCCTTCTCCTCGGATAAAGATCATGCCCTTCCTCTCTATAGCAGCTTCCACTCTCCCCTGAGCATCAGCAGCTGGCCCCACCTTGTACTTTAACCACTTGGAATCACAGGCTTCTGTAACCTGTCCAGCCCATGGCTTAAAGCAACTCCCTGAGAAGGCTGAGCTAAACAAAACCGCATTGTTCAACAAGGTATACTTTGGTCCATAGAGTGCCTCAGTGATGAACGGGACACCGTTGGGCGCAAACGTGAAAGAGTTCTGATCAGGGTGTTCGTGGCCGGCATTAAAGTTCCTCCACCCTTTAATCCACTCTTTGTACTTGTTCTTATGAACGATGTCGAAGATGGCACGTCCCCCCAGCTTCCCTGACTTGAAGGACAGAAAAGAGCTGTTGGCTTTGACGGGTAAAGCGCTTCCATATGTTACCACTCCCCAGTCCTCAAAGTAGTGGAGCTTGGGTGTTCCAAAATCTGATGGGGGTTTGGGGACCAGGCCTGGGTCATACCTGCAGAACCAGAGGACAGATATTATTGACCCCAAATCCAAAACGTTGGGATGCTATCTAAAATGTAAATAAATGTACCAATTCAGGAAAAATATTTCCTGAAATCAGGAAAAATATTTGCAAATTTTCAAACCTTTCAAGGAAAAAGAAATTGTCTGAAAATTTGAGCAAGACAATGCGAAACCACATCCATTATGTATATGAGTGGATTTTCTAAAATCAATGACTATGTCTATATTTCATCTTAAATATGTTTAACTGAGTATCAGACTCATTACACCATTTAAAAGAACCATCATGGACTGGGCTGTTGCTGGTGTTATTATCCTAGAGCAGTCATTTTTATTTTAAAAAAATATTAAAATATTAATTAAGAGTATTAAAATGTTAATCAAGGTTAATTGAGCACATGTAAACGCAGAGACTGGCACTGTTCTACTTAATGCTGACCACCAGAGAAGACATTAAGTACCTGGATGACTCACACCAACAAAGTCACAAGAGATTCAGACAACAACTCAGTCGCAGACCAAAGGGCCCTGCACAACTGCTATCACCACAGGATGAGGGTTGACCACATTAACCCTGCAGAAGCAGGCAAAGGTACAGGAAGAAGCTCAAGAACTGTGGCACAGATGTCACTGAGGGAAACATCTCTCCACAGCTCCACTCCTGGTGGAAGGACATTTCACAGGTGGAACTTGGAGGCCCTGAAGTCTCTACACTTCTGAAATGGTATCAACAACCCAGTGTAAAAGCCTCTGTTTGTGCCTCTCATGATAGACCAAGACTGCATCTATCTTACAGAAGCCAGGAGTCATGTCAATGTACAGTCTTAGAGCCTGAACAGGGCAAAGTATGTCAAGTATGTGAGTGCGTTGATGTTTCCAAAGCAAACAGATCACTTGCCGCTAGGGATGGGTATCGAAAACTGGTTCTTGTTGAGAACCGGTTCCCACTGTTTCAATTCCTTGGAATTGTTTGCCATTTTTGCAAACGATTCCCTTATCAATTCCAGTCGCCCTGAAGGATGTCACCACGTTGCGGAGCGTCATTTACACAGCGCGTAAGCGGCTCAAACGCTCAAAAGTTTGGTTATACTTTACGAGAACGGATGACAACAGGGCAACTTGCAATACTTGCAAAGTAGATACTTCATTTAAGGGAGGAAACACTACGAATATGCAAAAGCATTTGCTCACAAAACACGCGATGACCTTAAATGAATGTCATGTTTTTAATTCCGCTCCGGACTCGTGAATCTCAACCCAGCAGCAGCGGTAACATTTGCACGTCCTCTCCCGTTAATGCGGCAGGTAAATAATCAAATAACAGTGCATATTATGTTAGCGCGATCTGCCTTATTACAAAACCTGCCATTACTGTGCATTTAGGTGACCATGATGAGAGAGACAGACAGAGTCTGGCTCAGATGCTGGCAGTTCTCGCTGCAATCTACCGGTAGCATCTCCTTTCAGGCCAGGATAGACGAATGTCACAGAGCAGTGACTAAGTTTGTGGTAAAAGGCTTGCACCCATTTGCCACAGCAGATGCCCCGATTTTCATTAAGTGAATGTGTTTAATTGTAGGCAGGGACATTACTGGATATTCTTGTGTAATTGCTACAGAATAATTTATGTTATACTTTGTTATTGCTACAGAAGAATATTTATTTTATTATTTTACATTTACATTTTTTTTCCCTGGGGACCCTGTGACACCCCATTGAAGAGCCATAGGCTGTGGATCTCTTAAGATCTCACTGTTGGGTTTGTAAGGCCATGTTACTCCTAAATTTCTATCTTGTTCAAAGAGAAGATATAAAACAAAGTTCTAAGCTAATCGACCTTAGTGTTCTCCTTTTTTAAAAAGAATCGATAAGAGAATCGATAAAGAATCGAATCGCTAAACAGAATCGAAAATGGAATCTGAATCGTGAAAATCTTATCAATACCCATCCCTTCTTGGGGCCATGCCTTTGCTAGATCTACCACTGGCTTCAGCCTCCTCTCATACACCAGGGGACTTTTAGTCAGAAATGATGTCTGACTCATTCTCACAAGGTGAGGAGAGGCTCATGTTAAGAGCTGCTGAGCCTCCAGGAACTGACCTGATCTGGTGCCCCATTGGTTATCATGATACATGTTATCTTGTGGTCTCACACAGCACTACAGCCTTAGAGGGAGGAATCTATAACCACCACTTCCCCGTGGAAGGGAAATGATCCAAAGGAATACCACGGGTCAAAAAAAGTCCAGTTCCTCCAGGTGTCCAGAGACTGAAGGCAATACTTCAGCACTACCACTGGCCTGTTTTGGTCCTTCTGGGGGTCAAGGCCCAAGCTGTTGATCCAAACCTGCAGGGGGCCCCAAGAAAGAAGCCCCAGTGGCTTCCACGACTTCTGTCAGTTTCCCCAGCAACTGAACAAACACAAGAAGAGTTTTTATGTCTAAGACAGTCTGCATCTGAGTAGGGCCACATGTCAACTAATTAACCAAGTATAGAAAAATCTGCAAGCCTGTTGCTTTCAAGGGAGAAAGCCTCAATACACTTGTTAGGTGTTGGTTAGCACCCAAAGGTCGGTGACCAAGGCCTTCCAGTAGCTGAAACGTTGCAGTGAGAAACAGCTGACAGCAAAACTTTGACAATCAGGATGTCAGGATCGAGTGCTGCCTTGCAGTTCTCTCAGCTAATGCCATGCAGCCGCAGTTGGTGCAAGAATAATTAGTGGGTGCCTGTCTCATGCTCATTGCCAAGAGACTCTCATGGCCATCTGTCCTGTTAAATGGATGATCTTCCAGCCCAACATTGGCAAGTGTAAAAAAAGGCAACAATTTACCAAAGTATCCATTTAAATTTATATGAAAAATTGACCAAATGACCAAAAAGTGACCCCTGACAAGATGTGCAGAAGTGTATGTTAAAGTACTGTCACTAACAAAAAAACGATGAAATTAACCTGAGCAGCTTACCAAATGAACTCTGTATGGAGAGTACACCATCGCTGGCCTTTTCCAGCTTGCCCCGGCCCTTCCATTACCCTGTTCTGATGAATTAGATCTGCCAGCCAGTTTCCACTGCCATTACGCAACACATAGCGGTCCAAAAATACCAGCTGGCTCTCTGGCCCGTAGAACCAGTTATAGTTGGAATCTGCAATTGCTACAGTTCGCTGAAATCCTGGTGAGATGGTGAAAACACAAAGAAGATAAAAACACCATATTTCATTTGTAAAGGGTACACATGACAAATAAAATGTTGTACTGGGTGAGTTTGAGGTTTGTAGAGCCAAAAAGTGTGCAAAAATAGCACTTTAAACACTATGAATTCTTTGCAAATTACAAAACTCAACCATGCAAAACTCATTATGAAAGGATCTGGCTTGTGATCACAAATGTGTAACAAAAGTGCATTCCCCAACTTAAACCTCTGTGGCCCAGCTCAGCTCCACACTAAGTGCAAATTGTTCACACAGTTTTGTTGTCTATAATTACATAAGGAAACTCTTGCTCTCTGTTGTTGAGAGGGTTCTTAGAAACCCGTTATAGTAACTACAACATGTTATCACAGTAAATCATTTGTCAAACCCAAACACTCAGGAACTTATAGCACAAACACTGTCAAGGTAAGTCTCTTCGGACTGATAAAGCCCCTGCTTTCAGTGTAATTTACACTCAAACCAAAGTTAATGTCTTCATTTTATCCTTTGCACAGCAGTACTTAGATTAGTTTTACATTGGACCATGGGTAGAATTATATTTCTTGTATCTGTATAGAAATGAACCTTTCTTCATTTAATTTTAAGTAAACACTGCAAATGAACTGACAATAACATCTATGAGAACGTTGGTCATTTATATTTCAACTGACTGACTCTCTAATCCTGTCAACAGTTTTAGAACATACAAGCAACCATACAAAATACAAAGATACACAACAATCCTCCACAGTCTTTCAGCAACACCCACTACAACTGACCTTCCACCTTTTTTCATTATTCACCCTCCAGCTTGTACTTCAGCCTAGCCTTCATTTTGCTTGGGTGGCATCTGTTTTTAGGTGCACTCACACTTTCCTGACACAGACAACTCATAATGTCATGTTTGTCAGGATGATAAGAAGGTCTATCCCAACTCAGGAGATAGCATGGGTCAATCCCTGACAATGCCAAATGCATGCATTGGAGTAGGTGTGATGGACAGGGCTTAAAGGGATGAAAGCGTGTGTACACTGGTGGATGTGGCTTACAGTAAGCGTTTCGAGTGCTCAGGTAAACACAGAGGTTTTACACAAGTATCAATCCAGGTAACTGGAATATATGGCATGATGTCACAAAAATCATCTCCTTGGATAATGCCTGTCATAGATATATGGAAACTCAACAGCCCAAAAAGTTACTATTTAGTTACTATTTAGAGCTTTTTTTAATAGCTCTCTGAGCTCAGTTGCTCTCATCCACCAGTAGACTCTGTGCTCTGGTGGCGTTTTCATGCAATACATGGTAAAAAAAAAAACTGATTAAATAACATAAACACTGCATCTCCATACAACATGGTAATATACTACGCAAAACTACCCACACCAACCATCTCCAACCTGGATTTAAGTGTGATCACATAAATCTTATACGTCATATGAGTTAATGAGAGGAAAGACAAAAAAACACTACTCTGAAATTTCGGATTTACATGTCAAAATGCTACTGACTTATTAGAAGGTTGTTATCTATTTCAAAATCTGTCTGGAAAAGTAGCAATGGTAAGTAAATCTGCCATTTATATAAAATAGCATATGGACATGCAATTTACATTACAGCACTTGGCATCTCTTCATTTGCATTCAAGACTCAGACTAATACTGGAACTTAAACTGACAGTTACTTCCTTTTTTCCAGCTGTCTTCTGACACTTTAGCTTCTTTAAACTGTGAAGCTTCAGCTTGAGCTATTGTTCCAATACACACCAACAACAGAACACAACATTAAAAACAGTGAACAATTAAGTAACATTAAACCTCTTATTATTTCATTAAGATCTCACAAGATCCCAAAAGAAGAACACAGACAGTTAGTGGACAGCGATCATTCAGGGTGCTCCGAGGCCAGTTTGGGATAATCTGGCCTTGTCTTCCTGTCTGGTAGGAGGAGAAAGCTGCTATTGTGGCTCTGAAGCTCAGGCTCTCCTGGTCAGTGCAATTAGAGGTGCTTTCTGGGTGCAGAATTGCTGCTCAGCTACAATATAGAAACTGTCAGCAATTGGCTGCAAAATGCCTGAGTTTGACCTGGGGGCCTCTCCTCCCACTGCTACCCTCGCCCTGACCTCCAGACAAAACCCCCAGGACACCACAGATCCCCACATGCTTCAGCACAGCTTTGTCAGACATCCAGAAAGGTAATAACTACACGCATGCATGCCCCATATCAGTTCAGAGGAGAGGGTGCTCTCCAGTGGGGCAGCCTGAGGTAATTTTCATGCCTAAGCTAACATAATGAGGCCTTTGGCTGGAAGCGTTCTAGTAGGCATAAGCCAGATGTCTAGGCCACTCATAGCTGAATAAACACTTCCTCACAGGTTACTGACTTTTTATGTGCTTGCCTAAATATAACCATTACAGTAAAAAATAAAAAAAATCACATAATTAATTTTGCTGGCAGCATGTGGTGTCACTTTTACCGGGCAGGATGGTCCTGTACAGAAAGGCAAAGTGTTTAAGTAGCCAAGAGTGGTCGAAGTGGCCGATGCCAAAGTGCCGTTGCACCAGGAACATGTACTGGAAGAGAGAGCGGGTGGTGTAAGTCCCATATGCTACTCCTTCATACAGGGAACCGTCGGTCACATCCTGCAGGAGAACCATGGACTTCTCCATGATGGACAGGACTTGCTTGGTCCACAGGTAGGCCTCCTGAAGGTAACCTGGAACACAGGAAGTTCAGATGGTGTCAAAAAAATCCAAAACTAAATCTAAATTTCAGTTAATGAAACAATTTCAGAGTTGACTCTGCCTGTTGATGGATCTGAGGGTGCCATCTAAAGAAAGCTTCCATATTTAGCTGTGGCTACATCACACAGCTATGCTACACTATACTATATATACTCCTTTAGACATAAACACAGACCAGATCACACACACACAGAATCTACTATGAGAACATGCAGCCACATAAACACTGTAGCCACAGTTCACTGAGGAATCACGGGCTGTCAGCAAACTCTGGCTGACACGCTCCCCACAACACCCCCCTTCTCTGAGACATGGTCCACCCACTGGAGCCATCCCTGAATGGGTTTGGTTTGGATGGGTTTTGTGCACAGAGCAGGTATTTACAAGTCATCAAACAGAGACACAAAGACTACATTTACACAAACAGGGCTTAAACAGTGCTTACAAAAGTCCAGGAGCCAACTTCAGAGCTGTCTGTCACTTTAATATAATTAATGTCCACATCCCGTCATTTCACACATTTAAAAGGAAACTGCGATATAGAAAAGAACATAGATACATTTTTGATTTGATTTTGCTGTGAAATGAAGAAAGAAAGAAAAAATATATAGCGTTAGTTCAGGCAAGCCATTAAGTCAGGCTCTACCACAATCCTGGCAGATCAGCTGATGTCTGTCCCATCCCACATCAGCTGATATCCTTCTACACATCCAGTTGGCAAATTTCATACAGGAAACAGAGTTTAAGCCGCTTAAGTTTTCCAACAGTCACTGTACATCTGTATTCTGTTTTACAACCTACTTCCACCCCAACTTCTCAGGGAAGAATCAGACTTCTTTTTACTACAGTGAGGTACAGAGGTATTAACAATCACCATTCATGTATGATGTGACAGTTAAATGTTGTCCACAGAACATCTAGAAATCGAAAAGATGGCACGCCACACAAGTCACTGTACTCGTACACCAACATTTACAAAAAGGGAAAAAAGGCTCTATGAGCATGTGAGCTCATACGCATGTACATAGAGTAGCTGTTATCACAGAGTCTAACGCTGTGGACAGCTGACCGACAGAGGGCATGACGCTCTAAGTGCTAGGAACCACAGCTGCCAGCTCAGCCTTCAGAGCACTTTCACTCTGCACTCCAGAGGAATGTGAAACAGCAACTTTCCACTAATGCTCCTGGACTCGCTGAGCAATCCTTCAGTCTGTCTGGACAGCCGGTTAGTTTCAGGCAATACGGACCAAAATTAACATCTTGACACAAAAATGATCTTATCCCTGACAACAATATGTGAGATGTCACAAGGACATGTTCTTTTTGAACGGACGGATCAATAAATACTCGTCTAAAAGCAAGCGACAGAATGGTAGTCGCCTCGTAGCAACGCTTTTCTTTTTTTCAGCCTGGTGGCTTTTTTGAATCTGAAGAGGGAAGTGGAAGAAACACGAGAAAAATCCCCTTAAAGATCAAAAAGGCAGACATTAGCACTTACAGTAACACTATCAAATATTTGTGTATAGGTGATTATCGCTCACAATCTTGAGTGCATCACTTCATGCATCAACGTTCAGAAGACAAAAAAATAAACATAACTCAGCCTTTAAGCTGCGACACTTGAATGAAAATAAAATTGATTTGGTTGCAGTTTTTTAACAGAGCTGTGTAGCTACTGAACAAATGAAGTAGTTCCAGTCCTTAAACAAAGTTTAAGCAAAGAAGAGATTATTGTTCCATGTTTTTCACATAAAAGCTCAAATGTCTATAAATAAACTCAGTATAACTCAAGCCACTCTTCTGTTGTTTCTTTAATACATGTTTATTTTGAAAAAATGTCTATGTAAGCAGATCTGCCTCTTGTTATACTGATTAAAATTCTTTGACCCTGTGTGTCAAATAAATAATAAAATGACTTTTGGCCAGTTTTGACATCTGACCTGTAGGAATGGGCGTACACTGCTACGATGAAAACATCTTTAACTCATTCTCAAACTGGCAGCAGTGTGCAAAAAGCTTTTGTCAGATAACCTATGAAGAAAAAAATATAGTACGTAGTTTTTGGCAGCAATAAATGGAAAGCTTTCAGTTATTCAGAGCCAGGACTGAATTTAATGCCATGCCTAAATTAAGCTTGAATTAAGCGCAGCGTTAGACATGACGCCTGAATGAAGCTGCTAAAAAAGAATCTTAAATAAAGCAGATTTTTTTTTTTTGGATCACTTAAAATCGATCATGTGTTGCCAAACTATTAAAATGGTAAATGGCCTGTATTTATATAGCGCTTTACTAGTCCCTAAGGATTCCAAAGCGCTTTACATATCCAGTCATCCACCCATTTACACACACATTCACACACTGGTGATGGCAAGCTTAGGAAGCAAAGTTCTTCACCCTAGTTAGTTTTTAAACTCACATCTTTGCATGAGGTTGCTTGTAAATCACACTTTAGTGTGTGAATGTGTGTGTGAATGGGTGGATGATTGTGTATAGTGTAAAGCGCTTTGGGGTTCTTAGGACCAAGTAAAGCGCTATACAAATACAAACCATTTACCATTTAAGCAAAAATAAATATGTCATAAACAAAGCAACCAAGCTGAGGAAAACACAGTGTATTTCCTCAGTAATGCAGAGCAGGAGCAAAGTCATTTTTGGGGAGTAAAATGACACCAAGCAAGACAAGGTCAGGTTGCAACTTTCCTGAGATGTCACAGGACTGTGTGCTTGTTGGTAACCTTTATGAAAAACGAGCAGAAATAAAACCACTGTGACCACAGTGGTTCTCGGCAATTGAGCTTAAATTTAGTTTACATCAGTACTAAATCTTAAACGCCAGAAAACAATTTGAGAACGTCTTGATTTCCTTCCTCTTCTGCTTCACATACATATTTAGTCGATGGTGTTGAGATAGTGAACTGGAGTAATCATGGCAGATTCTGCAAAGGACATGCTCAAGATAGCAGCCCCCATTTACTAACATGTGCAACACAAAAGAACTGCGCAAAGAGTTTACGCAAAATCACCATCAGATGTATGACACAAACACACAGGACAAGTGTGTTCTTACTGTATGATTTGCGTATGATAGGGAACAGGACTCATTCCAAATCAACCACAGCCCATTTCTCTAAAAAGGATAGCTATAAAAGGAAATACATTTGCACCGAAGAAAATAAAAAGAACCCTAGGTTTCTCTACAGCACTGTAGCCAGGCCGATAAAAAAATAGTTGGGCCAAGTATCCCTTTAACCTGAACTAATGAACTAATGAACCGTGAATCTCTTCAAAGCTAAAATTTAAACCACTAGATAAGAAGTTACTCATAACCATCTCACATACGTAACATTATCTACAGCTACTTTCAGTAGCATTGATTGGTTGGAGACTCTTTCTCTTCAATTGATCTTTCTGAGTTGACTTCAGTAGTTCTTCCTCCAAACCATCAACATGTCTTTTAGACCCTATTCCTACAAGACTGCTCTGAGAAGTTCTACCATTAATTAATGCTTCAATGTTTAATAATCGGCTATGTACCACAGGCCTTCAAGCTGGCAGTTAATTTAGTAGTTAAATTCTTACATGAAAAGCCATCACTTGACCCAGCTTTCTTAGTTAATTATAAGCTATAATATTTTATTAGAGCGATTACAGGATGCCGTAGGTGTTAAAGGTACTGCAGTGCGGTGGTTTGAATCATACCTATATAACAGAATCCAGTTTGTTGTTGTAAATGTAAACTTAGGTTAAATATGGAATTCCAAAGGATTCTGTGCGAGGAACAATTCCTTTTACATTACAACACATAGTGAGGTTTCACTCACTATGTGTTTATGCACCTCTCTGCATATAATCATTAGTAATTATTAATCTCTTAATCACTGGGTCTCTTCCACAGTGTGTCTTTATCCTATCTTCCGCTTATTGAGCCTGGTTCTGCCAAAAGTTTCTTCTTGTTGAAAGTGAGCTTTGTCTTCCCACTCTCACCAAGCACTTGCTCATGCGGGGTTTTCTATATTTTTTATAGAGCCTTTTTCGAGTAAGTGGAGAAAGTGGCGACAATGTCGTAAGAGAGAATCCTGTACTGCTAGGATAGAAAGAAAGGAAAAAAACTGGGGAAACTTAAATAACAGTGTCCAAAGTCTGAGGAGGAAACCAGAAAAAGGGCAGCTGTCTAACATATAAAGTGTAAAACCAAAACTAAAACTACAGATTCTGACACTGTTTTAGCAAAAACAATAATTTTACTTGAGGACAATCCCCTCACTCATATTTTGAACAGTCAGCAGGAGCTAACTAGCTAGTATGCTGCTTTCAGTCTTGTGTTCTCCCTACCACCCAGTCAGGTTAGGGTTGTGCATGTCATTCAGTTGCTTACAAAAGGGGATTTTGTCCAGCTGCTGGATAGATTCCACATTGACTCTGTCTACATGGCAGTCCTTCTACTCTAAAAGGAACCTGCAGCAGGTCTAGTACTGCTTTATGTGCTACTACAAAGTTGTGCAGAACAAGAATTCAGTGCATATATTTTCCATCTGCCTTCCAAGACGGTGGAAGTGAAGTTTACCTACATGATCAGAGGCTCAGACTGAGAGAAAAACATCATGGAAGCAGATTAAGTTGAAGACATGACAGCATGAAATGTCTCAATATCTCACAGTCGTGTAAAAAAACAAAACAATTGATCATGTGTTAGTGTAACCCATCCCCCTAAAGAATTCCCGGAATCAGACTTTGGACCATGTTTAACTAAATCCCTTCAACGAAATCCAGACAAATGAAAATCATCTAGTCAGGCTGCATTTTGCTTTGTTTGCAGGATTTCTCTCCAACTTCCAAACTATTTGTGGAAAAATATTTCTTCATAAAAACATTTGAGGCACACAAACAGAAAACAAAACAGAATTTTTTGTGGCTTTTTCCACAATTCAAAATGATCACCAGTGTGAGCAATAAAGTACAAATGGACAGCATCATTGGTGTTCAGTAAATAGATTCTACCTAAATCTGTTAATTAGTGCGAACTTTCTGTGGTGCATGTGTGCAGAAAACACCAGCGATTAGAGAAAAGGCTGCAAAAGCACACAAAGCACCAACGGAAATACAAAAATCATACAAAACACAACAGAAATATTTTGGGGAGAAACTAATGTGATAGAACAACTGTGGAAGTAACAGAAACCAAAACACACCAAGGATTGCACTGAAACACGCTTCAGAGGCATCGTCTGTGTTACGAAGGAGAAAAGGAATCAAGATAATGTGTGTTTTAATCACACAATTCGGCAGAAGACTGTAGATAAATGTTTGCTATAGACCATTTATTGTTAGTTTGTTTCTTCAGGAGCTGTTTCTCCCTGTTTGTCTCCACCTTTTACACCATGGACAGAAAAACTTGCATGTGAACATGGCAAAAAACCCCATTCATGGGGTCTGTGTGGACACAGTGGAGGATTATAAATACCTTGGTCTGAACACTGACAATAAACTGGACAAAACACAGAAGGCCTAAAAAAACCCAAACGATTTATTTTTCCTGAGAAGTTCTTTAATATCTCAATGTTTTATGATTCTGTGGTGTGCTGGCACAGCAGACTGAGAATAACATACAGCAACAAACTCAAGAAACTGATCTGCGAAGCCAGAAACGTAATCATCACACACTTACCCTGCATCATGTAAACCAGACTTCCTGTGAGCAGAGCCACACAGTTGGTAGGCTGATGGTTGTGTAGGTACTGAAACCCCCACCCTCGGACGTAGGACTTCTCATACATCAGGCGTGATGCGTTGCCGATCACCTGCAGGAAACGTTCCTGCTGGCCCTTGTTCAAGTACTCATACAGGAAGTCGTAGGCAGTGGCAAATCCAACTAAAGAGTGTGCAAGAGGAACTTCATCCCAGGGAGCATCTTTAACAAGCCTGCAATACATAGATCAGACAAACAGAAGGGAAAGCATCAGCAAGTGGAAAGAAATTGCAAGTATGAAATTTTCACTCTTTTCAACGAAATCCTGGCAAATGGCTTCTAATGAACGAGAAAGCCTTCCTTTGCAAAGGCTTTTAATTAACATAGCAGCTGTAAAAGGGCTGGTCTCTTTGAAAGCAAAATAAAGACGCTAAATAGGATTTATCAGCAAAATTACAAGTGTACCAACAAAACGAGACATTAGAAATGCAGCGTGGGTAGATTCTCTCCAGGTTGGATCTAAGACTGCTGACGTGTGAACTGCAAAGTGTTACTTTTGAGAAAAAAAGTGAAAGCAACCATTCTGTTCAGGTTAATTAAAGGGAACTGAACTACAGATGTGTGGACTGCATTTTAACAGCCAATAATTGACATCATGGATTGTGCTGAGATCTACACAAAGGTTGTCTTAAGATCTAAACCGGACTAGAGTCCTGTTATCACCTCCAGTCTAGCTGCAAGGATAAATCACTAAACACTAAAGCAGCAACAACAACAACAAATGATAGAAATCTGTTCATCTCAACTGAAAAAACCTCCTGTGTAAATTTGAATTGTGGTAACTAAGAATCAGTTTGCACCTCTGTTGTAGAGAGTGGGTCAAAAGAGGACAGTAGGCAGCATTCCACTTCAGTGCGACACAAAGTAAGCACAGGGTGTAGCATCCTAAATACTGTCATTTTGGGTAATTTGACTAACCATCAAGCCTAGTTTGTTGACTTTCACTGTAGTTGTACTACCTTTCACAGAAATTTATAATGCTGCTATAATTTCATTTTTCAAGCTTTGGCATCTGCAGTCTACAAAAACATCCAGTACTAGTTGGAGCAACGTCAGCAACCAGGCTACAAAGAGTCCAATCTGCTGCAAGTGCACGCTATGAAAGCATACTTTTCTTTGCATTGACTGAAAATGGCGCATGAGTAGTGGGGTATCCCCTGTCCTGCAGCTCGTTGTGCATTAGACAATTTCACTACTATCGTAACACACTATATTGCTATACTGAATTGAGGTTTTCCAATCACTTCCATGGACAAAAGTGTATAAAATCACTGGGAATTCCAGTGTGGTACAGTGATAAAATGCCACCTGTGCAACAAGTCCAGTTGTGAAATCTCGTCACTAGTAAATATTCCACAGTCAACTGTTGGTGGCGTCGTAACAAAGTGAAAGCGACTGATTTTATGTGGTAGGCCACATAAAATCAGTCAGCGGCTGCTGAGGTGCATAGTGCTCTTAATGCTTCAGCATAAGAGTACCAACTTTGGGGAAACAGTTTGGGGATGGCCACCTCCTGTTCCAACATCACTGTGCACCAAAGTAAAGTCCATATATACATGAATGAGTGAGTTTGGTGTGGAAAACTTGACTGGCCTGCACAGAGTCCTCACCTCAACCCTGACAGAACACCACTGGGATCAACTAGAGCAGAGACTTCGATCCAGGCCTTCACATTAGTCTCTAACCTCAGAAATGCACTTGTGCAAAAATGATCAAAAATTCCCATTAAAACTTCTAAACTTTGTGGTTATGTATGTATAGGTAGCTCTGCTTTGTGGTCTATGGACACACACTATTGAGCCTTCGCAGAAACCCCCAGCTGCCCCAATTACACACTTGATAAAATGCATTAATGGTATTCTTCCTTCAGCTGGATCCTTAAATTTATATTCATTCATTTGAAAATCAGAGCTTTTTTTATTTTTGAAATCTGGCCAAAGGACAAAAAAGAAAAGAGAATAAAAGTTACTGCAAACTTAGAGTTGGACTTGATATTAAATTATGCCAAAACACACTAGTTTTGATTTTATATATTTCTCTTGTTTGCTTTTTATTCCACTATTTTTATTTTATTCCGGCACACATGTACAATGACAATAAAAAAACACACACACACACGCACCAGAGAGGCAGGCACCATTCTGCCACAAAGTAGAAGCTCTTCATTGGAACATGGTTGTTGCAGGCGTAATTGAAGGTCATGAATACCACAGCTGACTGATTCCTGGAGCCACTCTGCAGAGGCCCCGAGAGGTTCAGTGACCACAATAAAAGTGCGGCCAAGTAGAAAACTCACAGTGTGCTCTTAAGACGTGAAAACACATGCTCAGTGGCTTTTCTTTTCTGCACTGTGGCACACATCCTAATGTTGTGAAAAATGCCCTGTAAATTGCACTAATGCCAATCTGGAAAATCCCCCTGGCCCTGTTCAGTGGTTGGAGGGAACATGGCAACTGTGCAGTGGAATGAGAAGGATTAAACTGTCCCTTTAAAGAAGAATTCACCTGAGATTCTCTTTCTGTTCCTGTAAAACTGAGCACCTATGAAACAACAGGAATGCTTTATAACACACAAACTGACAAGTTTAGATAAGGGAGAAACATAATTCTGCTGTGAGTGACACAACAGATAATGATGTTCCACCACTGGGAACATGTACTGCCAAGAATCTTGAGCTGCGTTTGTATAGTAGCGCGATGAAGACAGTCAATTATCACATTTATCAATTTTGACATCTTTAATATTAAATGCTGATTTCAATAAATTAAAAAGAAAGACAAATTAGGCTTAGAAATATGGACTTATTCTCCACATCTGAAGTCCTTTGGGGAGGAAATGATGCAGGGAAGAAAATCATGGGTGGTGCACAAAACCTGCTTTGAAATTTCTAAGAAACTGGAGCAGTCAAAAAACACTCTTCGGTCACTAGGACTTCCAATATTGCTATAGCTTGTTTTGTATTTGTATAATATTAATTTGGAAAACTTTTTATTGCAAATGTATTGTTTGTGAAGTGAACCAGGTGTAAAACATCTATGGTGTCTGTTTCCATCCTAATGATGATCCAGAGAGGGCATTTTAACTGGCACGGTGACACAGTACGATAACATAAAAATCTAAAGACCACCAGTAGAGGAGACTTTGATTTAACTGTGCTCTTTTGCTAACTTTTGCATGTCTAAGTCCTGCTAAACATTTTGGCTAATTAGAATACATTAGAATAAATTAAAAACCCTAGAAAAAAAGTACATGGTTCTATTCCATTCACCCTATATTTACTGAGGACTATCTCACAAGTATCGACAAAGTGATCTGCAGCAACATTACAAACAATTTAATTGGCTCTGCAAAACGAGTCTAAGTCTTCTTTTTCCCCAGCTTCTTTGGTTTACCGAAATACATAACTTGACACGCCCCAACCACTGGTAAAAAAAAAGGAAACTCAAACTATACACAAGAATTTCCCTAATCCCAACATTCCTGCAGGACCTGCTGATTTACATCTTGCTTATTAACACTGTTTACACCATTAATAGTCAAAAACTGCAGAGGTTGAGCAAACTGTTTGAAAATGTAAGAGAAGCAAGCACTGAGATGGTGATGATTAACAAATATTATACAGGTAGAGAGCCTGACTCCTGCAAGATTGTGAAGCCACTATTTCCATATATGAAAGTATTTAAGCACCACTTCTGATTGGTTTTAGTCTTTCAAACAGAATGTGTGTAGAATTGGAAGCGGTGAATGACTTTAATCCACTTTTCAGCCTTTTTGCATTTGCCAGCCAGAACTGATGGCCATTGAACTCAATCGAATTGTTAGGGAAATAAGGAAGCACGGCTACTGGCATGAAGTTCAGTCATGGCTGACTGTGAAAAGCCTGAGGATTGTCCAGGCATTGGCTGAATGGATGAATTCAGCTGACTTGCTAATGTTTTTCTCACAGTAGGAAATGTGGCGAGGTGGAAAATAAAAACATAGACATGCATGTGTTTATATCATTTCGATTTTAGACTGACACATTTCCGAGTGGCTAGTCTAAATTTACCCCTGAGAATTTTGGTTGCCAATAAGTCTTGACTGTTATAATTAAACTTGAAAGAGGTTTTGGAGCTAAAGAAATATAGCTTTGTACAACGACTTTGGGACTAAGCAGAACATTAGTTTAGATCACGTTGTTATCACATTTTAAATTAAGTTCAATTTAGTTAAAATTTGTTTATATAGTGCTAAATCACAACAGCAACCACCTCGAGCTTGAGCCGGATAATACTGCAAATTAGAAAGCAGACACAGAAGAAACTCCAACAATCATGCGACCCTCTCTGAGCAAGTACTTGGTGACAGTGAGAAGGAAGGAAGCCTCTGACAGATCAAGGCTCAGGTAGAGGCAGCCATCTGCCACAACAGGTTTAGGGTGAGTGACAGGACATTTAAAAAAAAAAAAACCACACACTTTCTGTTGAATCATAATACGAATGAATAAAAAATAAATGCTATGACCCAGTCACATAGTTTATCAGTAGCAGGAAGGCAGTGGAGTGTCCAAAGAAGATGCTGACTGCAGTAAACAGTTAAGTTTGCTAAGAAAACCATTTAAAGCCTAAATTCAGATGACTGGATTTTAGAGGTTTTGAGTACTTTTTCCATTTAGCTGTGTTATCATTCTTAAAAACTGTTTGTGACCAAATAGTTTCTGTTTGTTTTCTTCCTGAATTAAATTAACACAGATACACTGCTGTGGAAAAGTATTTCCCCTCTCCTAGTTTCTCATTTTTTGCAATTTGCCACACTCGTTTAGTTGACTTTGTTGATAATCTTAGAGTAAATATGAAATGTCGTTTTTTATTTATTAAGGGAAAAATGCTATTCAACTCTACCTGGATACCTCTACCTGAAAAACTGACAGTAATATGTATATTTAATTATTAGTTTGGGGAAGAATGGATGAATTTGGCTTTGTTCACCCTCAAACAAAATGCTCCTGCAACAAACAGAATGTAACTCTGTGAAAAGCACTGAATTGATACTTAGAGAAACTTCAAAGCCTGAAGAACGTAGCAACCTATCGTCACCTAAGATCATATATGCTGTGTTCAGAGTTGATATAAACAGCTCATTGCTGTGGTTTCCTTTGCACATCCAAAATAGTCATCATCATACATTCTTACCTAATTTGACATCAAAGTGCTGATATGCAGCAAAGCTAAAATCCCTCTTCCATGTTCAAACCAACGATAATAATGAGCCCTATGGCACTGATTGTGTATACTCTGCAGCTCTGTTCAGCCACTGAGGTTGCATATGTCATAACCACACAATCATAAGTTCCATACAAAGGTGGCAAATGTCGTGTCAAAACTCCCTGAGAATTACTTAGCCTTGTGTAAGCTGAAGCAAACATATGATGGAAACATATTCTCTAGGATGAAGTGTACATCATACTAAAGCAAGAGCTCCTACAGCTGGATTACCAAGTTGAAAACATGGGAAATACAAGAAAGATTGGTTAGGGAAATGACTGTAGCTTAGCCTGATGATATGCAATACAGAGGAGAACTAACCACAACTAGAGGCAGTCCCTGTCAGGTCACCTGGACCCTGAGCTTCAGTCACAACCCAGGCCTGAACTATTCAGCCCACATCTGAATATTTCATTTCCTCTCACTTGGGGTGAGGGTGGGGGTTGTTTGGGCAAACAGCTGCTAAACATATTTCCTGGACTACAGACTTATCGGCCCACAATGCATCTTTACCACGAGTCTTCCCACAGAGAAGGACCGGAACACTCCAGAGAGGGGACTGACTAAAAAGCCACTGACAGCAGTGGTTTAGCATTAAAGCTGCATTGATGAAGATGTAGGGGTGGGGCAGAGATATCGAGTAACATCTGTAAACTGTAAACAAAAAGTTTCAGTCACAAGTCACAGTCACAAGTAAAAAACAACAGAAAATATACCAACTAGGCTGGGCTGCCATCCTCTCCATGTAGTCCTTGACCAGATCGAGGGCCCCGGCCCTGTGTGGGTACAGCAGGCAGAACATGGACAGGACGCCCAGGTTGTTTCCATAAACCTCATTCCAGCGGGCGCTGAACTCGGCCGGGCTCCAGGGGGGCAGGTACTCCTCGGGGTGCTCTAACATGGTCTCCCCGGCCTCACGGATTCGTCTCGCCATCTCTTGGTGAGTCCCTGCAGCTGCGTACTGCAGCTGTTCCACATCCCCACGGCTGAAGTACAGCATGGGATGACCATTGTAGTTGCCCCCCATGAAGGGGATTCCTCCGCTGGGGTCCACCTCGGCTACAGCTGCCAGAGAGAGCAGGGGCCACAGAAGACTTATGAAGAAGACAGTGGGCGCCCCGCGGGTGTAGGTTCTCATCCTCTCATCGGAGACTGGGCTGTGGCATTGCCGAAGGAGCTCAGCTGAGAAGGGGAAGGGGGAGAAAGATTTGAGAAAGCCGGCCCATATTCTGCAGAGTTTTTTTTCTCGCAAAAGCCCTGCATTCCTTGAATAATTAGATACAGCTGTAGGCCTGATGATCCGGCCTTTCCATACTGATGGAGAGGCAGCAGTGTTTAGAAATGATCAGCACTGTCTGATAGAGTAGGACTTTATCGTTTCCAAGAATTTAAGAATAGCCTAAAATTTCCATGAAACACCGCCTTACCTTCTCTTAAACCCACAAGATTTAAGTCGGCGTTGCTATTGTCAGACAAGTCTTGCCATGCACACCCAGGCCAGGCCAGAGGAGCAGGCCCTAGAGGACATAGATGGCCCATTACTGCAGTAACATTAGTCTGGTTCACTGAAACACGCTTTAAACCAAAATGGTGTGCTTTACAGTGAGACTGTGCTCCAAACATGAGCGTAAATTCCATGACCTTAGAGGAGCTTTTGGCAAAGCCCCAGTGGAAAAGCATTTGGTAGTGATTTAAAAGACGTCTAGACTGGAGTCCGTTCTAACAGGCTGAAAGTGGACGTGCATCTTATAAAGAAAGAAAATTCAAGCCGGAATGTAAAACTGAGTCTCCTCCTGGAATTAATTCTGACATTTGACCTCAGGAGGCGTCACATTCCTCTGTGGTGAACACGAAGGTGGAAGATTTATACCAAGGACCAAGCAGAACAGAAAACTTTATTTTTTCTTAAGCTCTCTATCTTATGGTTTTCATTAAATTCAGGCTCAGTCAGGACAGCTGTAGTCAACAGAAGATTGTTATAAATTTAGAGCTACCAGAATAAAAAATGATAATAATATTATTTATATTGTTATTTGGCAGATTCTTTTATATGTTTGTTTACAATTGGCATATTATACAAAAAAAATATTACATAGTTATGATAATCCTTTTATGTTGATATTTAAGGTTTAAACACTGCTATTTCTGTCTATTTATTTTTGGCAGCAGCAAAGCACAGAGCACAGCTGGCATCAGTGACAACAGTTCTCATATAAATTAGGTCAAAAAAAAGAATGAAAAGAGGAGGGCAGAGGTGGGTTGCAAAGCGGCTTGCTCAGCTGATGTGTACAGTCTAGAGCAGGTTAACTAGCATGCCCCGTATGATATTTGCCAATTGAATGTGTAGAAAAGTATGAGCCGAGCCATCGACTAATACGGGACTGAAAGAGACTGAAACGAGCTGATTGGCTGGGACTGCAGCTGAGCTCTGACTTCTATGTTTTATCACTGCTTTACAACATGACTTTTTTTTTTTTATTTTGTAAAAGGATAAAAAGCATGTGATAGTTAAGATATCCTACTGTAACTGAATGTAAAAACATAATCTGCAAAATGTGTATTGAACACAGTAATTAAGATATTTTATTTCCTCTGTTTTAAAGGATAATCATTCCTTGGCGAGGGGTGTGTATGTCATGGTTGAGGCTTTTCAGAGATGATTGCCTTCCCTCTCCATTTAACATCACTGTAGATTAGTGATGGGATTTCCGGCTCTTTTTAGAGAACCGGCTCTTTCGGTTCGGCTCACTAAAAAGAGCCGGCTCTTTCGGCTCCGAACCGGCTCTTCAGGTTGTTTTGTTGCTTTAATTAATTTATTATTAACAACAATATAAAATTATGCACAAAAGGAATTACTAATGTAAAAAAAGTGTTTTTATTTATCTATGTTTATATATAAATATATGCAGTGGCCCCTAGAGACAAAGCACTACAAACTCCAAAACACATTTCTAGCGTTAACTGAACTTCCAAAACAGAGCTACCTAGATCACTTAAATTACACAATTGAAAGCATATGTGTATTGTTTGTGTATTTATACACAAGCACTCATATATATTCAAATAATTTTTAAAAAATTGTTCATTTACCTGTTACTATCACACACCAAATCCGGTCGTTGGTACTTGCTTGGAGTTTGTACATGTTTGTACGTGCTTTGTTTCTAGGGGCCACCGTAAATATACTTTTATTTATTCACTCCACATAAAATGTAATAAATAAATCATATAATACAAAAACCAACTATTCACATTTCAACTTTTAACTATTTAAATTTTCAGCTTTTTCCTTTTAAACAAATTTAAAGTGAAACAACACAAAACACTGCAAACCACAACACAATTAAATATAAATTAAAATATGAAAACAAAAAGAACGTGCATATTCTCTGTCATATAGGCCTGCATGAATAAACTTTCTGTATCCTTTAATCATCCACAAGTACTTTCTGTTGCGAATGACTACTATACCTTTCTAATGTGACGTTGTTGTCCCTGGCTCTCTTTCTCTGTCTCTCCCTCCTGCTCTGTTCCTGTGCTACTGAGTGTAACTACCGGCCCTCCCCACTCTTCCCAGCACAAGCACACGGCCCCAGTGCGAGGGTGAGAGAAAGAAAAGACCCCCCCCCCATTGCTCGGGATAAGGAGCCGGTGTTGTGCCAAAAAGTGATTTCCGGTATTTGCCAAAAACTGATTGCTCGTATTTAAACTGCTATAAGTAACTTGTTGGGCTATACTGTGTGAAACATATGTCAAATGCATCCCTTATGGATGACAAAGTCATCTTAAGCCACAAACAACATTCGTGTAACAAGGTAGAAGCCGCAATCAGTTTTTGGCAGTGACTTTTATATAACCTTTATTTATGCAGTTAAAAAAAATCTCATTAACATTAAAATGTCTTTTGTAAGAGTAAGTTGGCCAAGAGCACAGCAGAAATGGCAGCAAATATTACAATAGTTCTGTAAAAATATTTTAAGTGGGGATAAAGGACCGGATTGGTTATAATGTAAGTACAATAACACAGAGTTGTAAAGGATAATTTTTTAATTCTCTATATAACCCCTTTGTAAACCCTGTTCACCGAAGTCTATTTACGAACATACCTAAAGATATTACACATAAAAAATACACAGAAACACTGGAAATCAGTTTTTGGCAGACAATCACTTTTTGGCACAACACCGGCTCGAAAGAGCCATTTCGTTCGCGACCGACACATCACTACTGTAGATTTACTTAATTAAGAAAAACATTTCTCCATTAAGAAAACAATGGATAAATCAGGTGATAATACCTGAATATATGAAACGAATCTGAGCTCTGAACTGAAGGCTTCACTGCTTTAAAGCCATCTGAATTGGCTAGGTTCATCTAACAGAAGAGCACTAGGGCTGAGTAAAGCCAAAAGGAAGTGCCACCTGTGGTGTCTCCAACCGAAAATATAAATATAATTTTAGATTTTTTAGATTCTTTGACTTATTTACAGGTTAAGTTATATAACTAAGTTATATAGCTGAAATTGCACTGAAAACCTAGCCTGGTAACAGTGATCTATTTTAAGAAAAGTAAGAAGTTTTTTAAAATTATACCAGACCTTTCATCTTAACAGATATTTTCCAGTGTTATTAACAATTTCCCCAATTTACAGGAAAACTAGGCATGGCCTGAGTGTTGGGCTTGTACTTCTCATGTAATTGCTCACATTTGTATTTTGGCAGCATTTTACTCCGCTCAGTAATTTTCCACCGGCTGATACCTTTGGCATTTTCTCATATTTATTACGTTGGTTTTTTTCGGGTTTGTCTTATTACGGCTGTAAAGATGTGCTAAGGTAACATAAAAACAAAATCCTGGACGTTAGCTCGTTATCAACACTAGCTAATTCCAGTGTGAAGTACGCCAAGAATGACGCGCTGTTTAATAAATTATTAGAAAACAGTCATAACTTTTATTCCGTATTTTTCCACGGTCACGCTCAGGTATGAAGCTGAGCTGCCTCCTCTGGTTCATGTTTGTAAGGTAATAAGGTACGGTAAAAGTAACGTTAAAAAATTTAAGCTAACTTCTCGCTCAAAGAGTTTCTGCGTTTCATTAAACCCCAAAACCAGCCGACACAAGCAGCTGTGCTTTCAGGAAACACCCTCCATCAACACAATAGCACCGACACTCGCGAAAATATTCGTTTTCGGTGGTACTGATAATCCAGAGCCACGCACAAAGTCGCCTTGTTCGTGCGTAGCCCACCAAAAAGATTTAAGGACCTCTCAAACGTGTGTGTGGGGGAGAGTCGTTACCTGTCAGAAGCGGCGCTCACAATCCGTATGTCACTTCTTCCAGCTGTCATCTCACAGCAGCAAGTTTCAAAAAGGTGATTGATACGGCTGAAAGGCAGAATTTAATAATCCCTTTTTTTCAAGAGGAAACACAGAGAGAGGAGGGAGGTATGTGTGAGTGCGGAGCCAGCGTCATGCTAGCGAATGAGGAGGGGCCGCAGGAAGAGAAGCTTTAAGAGGACCTAATGAACTGTGGCTGAACGAAAAGCCCCAAACCAGAGCTGCTGTAAACTGCAAGAAAAACGTGGATATATATTCAAATAGTAAGTTTAATCAGAACATTCTTTTTTTTCCCCCAAATTGATTGGCTGTTGAATCTCCTGACAAAAAAATGACTAAATATGTGAGTGTAAATTTGTAAAATATTTGCAATATCTGGGGGAAAAATCACACTGATGATGTAGGAAACTCAAAAGTCATGTATCAAATATGAGACACGAGGCGTTTAGTGATTAAGACTAACCAGCCACGTTTAATAGCTACAGACAGAGTTATACATCTGAAAGGAATGATCAAAAAACCACGTTCTGTAAATTTAAAGTCAAGGTTTTAGTTAACGCCCAACTTTACAGCATTAAAAATTAAGATTACAGCCTAGACGCTATGAATATGACTTTAGGCAGTAGTAGCCAACTGCTGTCTGCTGTTCCGCACAAATGGGAGTTGGAGTCACTCAGCTGCTCTTATCATGTTTGTGCTAATGTGTTTTTTTGTATTTTAATGGAATCATCAGACTAGTAGTATGTCTACTGCATGGTACAGATCATCCCAGAAGTTTATGCTTCAGTTTCAGGGAGTGAAATTTGAGTATTTTTATTAATCTGTTATATATATCTGGTATATTTTTTGTGCACTGTGCAACTTGATAAGTAAGGCTCAGTTGATGCTCCCCTCCACCCTCACATGGCTCAATGCAGAATCCCAAAACATGTGAACTCTGCATGCATCTTATATTTACAGTCAAACGATCAAACTTAACACACCAGAGATTTAATTCACAAGAATCCTTGCACAAGCTTTATGGTTTCTGATGCAATAAAGCTTTCATCTCAACAAGGAAGTAACCTACAATCTGAATTCCACAGCAATGTCTTTTCAAAGTTGATGCTTCTGACAACACAGTGATTCTGGGATTCTATCTTGCTCATCAATATTTATTCCAAAGTAAGCTTTGTGTTTCTTTTGACCCAGACTGAACATTCAATGTAGACTCTGTGCAGCAAAAGTCGTCAGTTTGCAAAGAAATCTCAAACAACTTCTAAGAAAATCAAAGAACATTTTATTTCTTTGACAATACTTCCAACACTTGAACACAGAAGTGAACTTTCCCTGTGGTTTTAAGAACTTAAGAGCACAAATGAATCCAACATAAGGCAAATGCGCATGTCAAATCTTCCAGGTCTATGAGAAACAAGGAGTACAATCACTACAGCTGTATGCATAAAACACTTGCACACACAGCACAAGTAATAATTCACTTTGGATGACCAATCTCACTTACATGCTGCCAGCTGGATGCTGTTCATTATCAAAATATACCGTCTTCACTTGTGAGATGATGGCCACTGTAAAGGAACACTTTGCCATTTGGGAAATCCTATTGTTTGACTTTATCAACGCCAGATAAGAAGATTTAGACCAGTATCATCTTTGTGAGGTTAGCATAGAGACAGGTCGGGGTCCAGGTTAGCACAAACTAGCAAATAGTAGGCCTACCTCATGAATTCCATGCCATTCTGCTGCCTTCCCTATAGCAATGATAGCTACCCTAATTGTGCAAATGATTAATCCAAAAAGAGTGAACTGTACTGAAGAGATGACGCTAAATCATCTGATAGAAGACATGGAAGAATTCTCGATTTGGCACGATAGATAGAAAAGTCATGTGCAAAGGTACCAGGTGCAATCTAAGTGTTCACAAACTGTAGCTGATTCACATTTGGCTTTTATCCCCTTCAATGGAGACCCTTTAACATGCACCAGAACAGAAACAAATAACTGGCATGAATCGAAGGCTAACAAAAGAAAAAAGAAAGTACACAGATCATATCCAAAGAAAAGCATGGGTTGTCTATGTTTTATCTTGTTTTTCGCATTGTTACATTTGGAAGAGTGCTTTGGGCTATGGGTCAGCATTACAGAAGAGGTGAGAAGTACTTCTGCTGGAGTATTGTGAGACACTCAAGATCATTCTGGTCTGGCTATTTTCATGTATCAGTGGTCTGAACCCAGCATAAATTCTATTAAACAGAGTTTAGCCCTGGCAAAATTAGGTCTTGCTTACTGCGATCCCTGCAAACAACTAAAGGTCTTCACTGTGCACCAGGGATACTTGGTACTAAGCTATGCTAAACACTTCCTGGATGCACAAAGATAAACCTGATGCCAATCTTCTGTGACTTTGCGGAGTCTTCCCAAACCGAGTGTTCCTTAAATATTATGGCACAACCTGTCTATGCACACCGACAAAATAACCATTCAGAAGTCGGTTAAAGCATACCTCAATCTGAATACAAATGAAGCACAAGTAGAAGTCCACGTTTTTACACTCAAAGAGCACATTTCACTGTTGCACCAAAAGTAATACAAAGAACATCTAGCATAGTCATCATCAGTCATATTATTATTGTTTCCCCAAGTTGTGATTTTTTCTTTTTTGTTTTTTTGTTGTTGAAACAACCATCACAAAGGACAGTATTGTGCTAGTTCTTTAGCAACAATGACCTGAAGAGTAACATCTTCCACTAAACTGACACAGTAGGAACAACAGACCTTAAATCTCGTGTTAAGGTTACTAAAATGCATACAGTGAAACCATATCCAGAAGAGAGGACTACACAATAATACTGTTTTACAGAAATACTCACACAATATTTCCAACAGATCTTTAGGGATAGGTACTCCTGTTTTGCTTACAGTCAATCACATTTTTGAGGTAATAACTTCAGGAAAAAGAGGGCAAAACATTTGATTTTTCTTCAGATTTTGAAACAATTTACCAAGGAAAATAAGAGAAGGCCTCACACACATAAAACAATAAGAACACCGTATCATTACTGAATGTAGATACACACACGCTCACACACTTAGTTTGTCGTATTTCCACGTACACTAAACCACAAAACAATGTTCAAATGTATGCATTATTACAGAGAGATACTGTGGCTTACATTCACATGGTTTCTCTGAAAGGATGAAAAGTGGACGTTTTCTGTGCTCCATAGATGATGGTGGGGTCAGGTGGGGAACTACGGGCATAAATGGAGGAACATTCCTCTCCTGAGAAGGGGTAAGGGAGGATTTTATTTTTCCGTTTCTTTTCTTTTATGACATACTCTCACACCTTTTCAGCAAAGAATCCGGGGGTCTAGGGTAATAGCCGGTGGTGCAGGGCTTATCAGGGGAAAACCTGGGAAACTTGTAATCCAGAGGCAGATCTAGAAAGAGGAAAAATCAAATAGGAAAGTCAGCTGCAAGTGATCACAATTGGTTGGTTTCACAATGGGTTCACCCGAAACCTTGGCTGATTGTGACCCACACCCATTTTCACTCCTTGGCTCTTGTGATTAGGTAGAGGATCAGTAGGGGGTCCATGACCCTCTTAGGCCATGTCCACACTAATACATTTTCATTTGAAAACGCATTTTTTTCTCTCCGTTTTGGCATTCCGTCCACACTGAGACAGCGTTTTCGTTCAAGGAAAACGCAGCGTTTTGAAAACGCTGTTTTTGCGTCGCAGCGTGGACAGTGAACCCGGAGCCTTTTCGAAAACAATGACACATTTTAGTCATGTGATGCAGTCATGTGACCACGTTTCATGCATGCGCAGTACTGGAACGTAAGCGTTTTCGGCCGTTTCAATGCAGACGCACAACTCTGTGAAAACGACTAAAAACAATAGTGTGGACGTGGAGCGTTTTCAGATGAAAGAGCTGTTTTCAAATTTATCCGGGCTAGTGTGGACATAGCCTACACTCCCATAGGGATTATAGCGCCTAAAATCTGGGACACAGCACCAGTTGTTCTTAGAACTGAAGAAGCTTCTCGGATGAAATATCTTCAAGAAATGTAAAGAAGTCCAGATACTTTTCTTTCCAAGCTCCTTAGACTACAATGACCTAGATGATTGAGAATTTTCACAAACATACCAATACATACATGAACTGGCAGTATCTTAACACTGGGCTCAGGTTTTGTCTAACCCTAACTCTGTTACTTTTAGAGACAGACAAAAAATAGCTTTTAAGGCTTGGAATAATTTTTTGCTCTCCAAGATCAAGGAGCATATTGCTGAGGCTTAGGGTTAGGATACTAACTCGTGAAGACACCATAATGTCTCCTATAGACCAGCCCTGAACCATACCTGCTTTATAATCCTCTTTGACTACAGTGGGTTTCATAATTTGCAAAATACATTTCAAACATATTCAGTAAGAATTTAAAATAGCCACTGAACCCAAAGACACATTAGGAAAGGGTTTAATGAGGTCATAGAGCAAGGGAGCTGAAGGGTAATCTTCCCATAAAATCCTAGATTTATTTTATCCAACCAGAAGAGTCGCCACCTGCTGGCCATTATAAATAATGCAGATGTTAGGCACGTCCACATTTGCTTCCCCTTTCATCATGTAGGCCCATCCCTTCTTCTATATATAGTCCATGGTAAAGATTTAAACATCCCCATCACCCGTTAGCTTTAACAATGGGATGATTTGACATTCACAGTGGCCAATGGTGCAGGAAGGTGGGAGAGGAGCCCAAAGTTAGAACTGCACTTTTAATTCTAGAAGTGTTTGTGTTGGCCAGAGGGGCCGATGGCGCGATATGGCAGCCTCACTTCTGTCAGTCTGCCCCAGGGCAGCTGTGGCTACAACCGTAGCTTGCCTCCACCAGTGTGTGAATGCGAGAGTGAATGAATAGTGGCATTGTAAAGCGCTTTGGGTGCCTTGAAAAGCGCTATATAAATCCAATCCATTATTATTATTATTATTATTAGCCTTCCTTTTTTTCCCTTTGTTACTCATGCACATGTGACATTTTGTCGTGTCTGCCTGTAGAACAAGTCTGAAAATGCGTGCCATCATAACCACGTCCCCAACTGCATAAGAGCCTACTTTTCACCATTGACAATGAGAATAAACACTGGATTTCCCATGTGGTGGACAAACATTTCTTAAGAACTAGTTCACAGAGACCATAACCCAGGCCTGACATGATATTTAGTCAAACAGTGTTGTGGTTTTTGTGCAGTCACAATACAAACTGTTCCAAGTAGATCACAGCAGGAGGTACCACACACACACACACACACCACACACACACACACACACACACACACACACACACACACACACACACACACACACACACACGCCAGGATAACATCAATGCAACACATCAAAAAAGACATTTCTTGGCAACCTTTGTGGACACCTGCACTTTGATGAGGGAACCACAGATCACATTTTCCCAGGATCTGCTCTGCAGCACACTGCTGCTTGGTAAGAGTTATTTTAACTTTGTCTGCACATCTGTGTCTGCTTCTGTCCCTGTTTGGGTTCATGTGAATGTTTCTCTGATGAAGTAGAATAATGGAGATGTCTGATACGAGGACTTTTTTGTATACCTAAAGGATGTAGGTTTTTTTTACAATTTTAACACAATAAGTTTGATTCTCAGTTTTTTTACCATATGTGTATATAAACATCTCACTAGAACAGAGTTACCTGTACCTGTTTGTGTTTTTTTTTTTTTATAAATAATTAAAACCCAGTGTTTACCAAGACCTTTTTTGATAAGGCTTCAGTGACTGGTAGCTTAATCAACTTCAAGGCTAGGATTCAACTAAAGAAGTGGCATTTTTATGTTTGAGTGATTCATGGGTCAATGTTAAGTGGCTTAACAAACAAACAAAAACATCCCTCTAAAATTTATCAGGTAAAAGGAGTTTTGGCTGCGTGCACATGTGGCAAATAAATCAATCAGAGATATTCCTGATCTTAAATTGTTTTGTGTACAAAGCACTCCTGTCCACAGAATCGGTTTCTTCCATTAGAACTTCTCCACCAACATGGGCCAGAACCAAGAGCTGTCAAAGGATATGTAGACGTGCTGGAATGGGCTACAAGACCATCAACAAGAAGTTGGGGAGAAGGTGACAACAGTTGGTGTGACTATTTGGAAATGAAAGAAATAGAACATGGCAATCAATCACCCTCGGTGTAAAAATCTGTGCAAGGAGTAACATAAGAAAGATGGAGGGGCTCTTTAATGATATAAATGAAGTTGGGACCGCAGTCCCCAAGAACACCACTCTACATTATAATGAACTGAAATCATGCAGCACCTGCAAGGTCCCTCTGCTAAAGATGGCGTGTGTACAGGCACATCTTAAGTTTGCCAGCGAACAGCTAAATGATTCCGAAAAGGCTTGGGAGACAGTGCTGAGGTCAGAAGAAACTAAAATCAAGCTCTCTGGTATTAACTCGATCCATTGCGTTTAGAATAAAAGAACAGTTCAGTATGACCCAAAGAACACCATCCCCACTTTCAAGCATGGAATTGGAAGCATTATACTTTGGCCAATCGACGGGACCAAGTACCTTAAAATTTTGGACAAGAAGCTCCTCCCCTCAGCCAGAACACGATAACAATGATAACAATGATCCAATACAACAAACCTCGTGTTAGGTCAAACCTGGTGACCACTTACAAAACATGTCTTACTGCTTTGCATGCCAACAAGGGTTTCTCTTTAGACATGTTTTGCTTGGGGAATCAAACACTTATTTCACTCTGTGAGATGAAAATGAATTTATAATATTTATGTATATTTATTTAGTATTTTTGGTTGATATTCTATTTCTCTACTATACAAATCAGAAACTGTCTTTGTAAGTAACCAAACTTACAAATTCAGCAGTGGGTCAAATGATCATTTCCCCCACTGTGTAAAGAAAAGAAAGGTAGCTCACTTTTGCACAGGAGTGTAAAAGGAACCCATTGTCATAGAAAAATACTTGGTCCTGTCAGCCTTTCGGGTTATTGTAGAGGGTAACAAATACATGAGCTCTAAATAAAGGGCTGTTCCCTGTTCCCTAACCCTGTGTTTATATTAATTTGCTCTGTATTTCACATCACTTTCAAATGTATTTCCATCGTTTGTCTCCTTTCACATACCTGCTATGTGCTCAACACTAGGGATGGCCATGGTGCTGTATTTGTGAATGCAGTGGCAGCACCAGGTCAGCTTCTGGCTCTCCTCATCCCCTCCTCCACTTTTATGCACATCAACAAAGTAAGAACCCCACTGGTTGGACACAGCAGAGGGTGACTTCATGCCCTGCTCCTGTTGAGACAGTTGATAGAAAAGCCAAACTATGCAACACTGTGTTCATTTTCAGACAGGTACAGACTTGTTTACATGTAGGAATTACCACCCTGAGCACACAGAGGATGATGAATCTCTAAACTGGTTTCAAGCCAGCCAGCTATGATGAGGTTTTTTTTCTTTAGTGCTGAAATGAATCACTATTACTGAGAAATGTATTGCTGTGTTAGTCATAATCACTTGTACATTTTGCAAGCAGATTCTGCTGATGAGCAGCAACATTAGGATGTGGTGTTTAAAATAAGTTTGATAACACACTGATCTTATGAGCCTTAAAGATATCAGGAAATGTTGCATAACAGAGATTTACCAGGTGATAAAATAGAAAAAAGGAAAAAGCCCAAGCTGCTTATGATGTTAAGACGTGTTCCAATTACTTTAAAAAGAATATTTTATTTATAATATTAATGTATATATTGGTATATTGGGATATATTCCCGTCTCACTGGTACAACATGAGCATGTAATTAAGTAACTGTTAATGTTGGCCAGGAAAAGCATTATGTTGAGATGGGTGGGGACTGAGCCTCCCTCCATTTCTCTATGGAAGTCGCTCATCATTGAAGTTATGACTCTGATCAGGCTGGGACACTATATTGATGGGAGCTCCCGAATTTTTGTGGACAAATGGAAGAAACCACTGGAAGCACTGGGAGTAACCGGTAAACTGGATCCTAATGGACAACAATTATCGACATAATGTTGTAATATTCTAGTGCTGTGTAGTGTTATTATTTTGGATGTGAACCAGCCTTGTATTTGTTGGGGGAAAAAGTTAAATAAAAGTACAAAAAAAATAAAAAATAAAATAATAATAATATTTTAAAACAAAAAAAGGCAAATTGCGCAAAAGATTTATGAAGATGGGGGAAAACATGAAATGCACTAAAGACTAATGATGGTTGACCGTGAAACAAGATGAAAAATACCAAGCAGGCTTCACACTACTTAGTTTTGATCTTTGATAATGCTCAAAATAAAGACTGCAAACCACAGGAAAAGGAAGTTTCTTATCACAAATGATGTTCTATCTGTGTCAGTAACACTTGTTTTATCAGCACTACCAATATCTCTGACACTTAAGTTCTTGTTTAATTCTTTTATTAAATGGAAACGATTACATGAGCTCTGTTACAGTCTCCTTCATGTTAAAGTTGCCAACGTAACATGATAAATTAACTAACAGCCTAGTAAAAATGGTCTCTACATTTAACTATTGCTAACTGCTCTAGTTACTCAGCACTAGCATTTGTTCTAGCTTAGCTGAAAACCTCCTAATGGCCAGAATACCAAACTCAGGGCTATAAAATGGTCAACCAAAAACTATAATGGATATAATGATAAAAGAAAGATAAAGATAAAAGATAAGTAGGGCAAAGAATGGTTTCATCCCAAGAAAGTTACAAAAAAGCTGGATTCCTTGACATGACTAGCTAGCTAGCTTAGTGGTACCTAGTAACTGAGCATAACAATTAGAATATTATGAATATATTACATTATGTAATATATAACGGAGTGAAAGCCAGTCTTAATAGTATATCAGAATGTATGCTAATGTTACCAGCTCTATCCTAACCCTTACAGAATTTGGATTGTAGTTAAAGGGAGGTAACAAGGCACTCTGTAGTTAGTTAGGGCCCAACAGTGAATTTGTGCCCTGATGCCTCATATATGATTAACACTGCAGTGTTCCTACTAACTAGTTTGGTTTCTTATTAGTAATAACAGGACAAACTAAAGTCCCACTAGATATATTTTAAAACTGAATTATTCAGAGGTCAAAGACTCCATAGTAAGTCTCCCTATACAGTCTATTTTACTAATTTCTTTAAAGTGTGCACTGTACATCTGTGGGCTTTTTCTGTATGTTGGAAAAAATAAGTTCTTGGTTTTAATACACGAGCAGTAAGTTAGATCAGGGTGTTTTGGGTAAATGTGACCGCTTTACTCCATCGCATCTAATTTTGCTCTTCCTTCCTTTACTGCAGTAAAGTACAGTGCAGAGTGCCCTTCAAAACGAAAATGAGGAAATGTTCTTATCCTGGTGTTTCTTGCCAAAAGATGTGCTGACGCCTTATTTTTTTGTCTGAGGGGATGTTAACATCCTGCTGCTTAATATCCTCATTGAACTGTGACCAAGAGGGCTGATATGTATTTATTCATTTCTTTACAATTTCCTTTCTACACGACAGAAGTTAAAAACCTGATATGATCCATAATTTGCCTTTAAAAACCTTTTATTTCATAACTGTGTCTCAGCAAGCCTGCCTCACAAGTTCTTGAATGGATGTTTTAAGGTCAAACACAGTTGGGCAGTATTCTCAACTTTTTGGACTATTAAAGCAAAATTAAAATAAAGTCACTTACGTTTTTCTATCCTACAGCAGTTTTAGAGCAGCTGATCTCAGTGCCAGACTGCTTCTGCAGATCCATCAGCTGAAGTCATATTCTTTAGTTCCAGTTGGAAAGTCGTATGTAGCACAAACTATTTACTTGTTGCACATCTGCAAGCTGCTTTGGAACCTATTTCAAACTATAACGCCTCCTTTTGAGTATTGTGCTTTGTTAGATTCAAAGTCATCCAAGATTTTTAGTACATAGACCTATGGTATCAATTTGAAACAACTATGTTGCTTTATTCCTGAGTTACTGCATTTAAATCTTGAGTTTCCACGTTGCCTGCCCACCTGCCTGGTAGGCTGATGACAATACCCCGTCAGCCTTTTACAGCTGAGGGGTAAGAACTATACTTAAAGAAACCAGAAGGAGTCAGACACAAGTTCAATTGACAGCAGATTTGAGCCTGCATATACAAACACAAAGTCCACAAGGTGTCAGAAGGCTAGAGCTGGGGGTAGGGAATGACTGCTATATAACTTACCTCAAACTTTCCCTTCTTCTCCAGAGGCTCCACTTGCGCCTCATTGGACAATGCCGCTTCACTCTTTGGGACGCCCTCCCCCTCCATTTCTTCCACTATCATCACCGTCTCCCACTTCCCAAAGCTGCTGGCAGGGAACATGTCTGATCTCATGCTGTCACCGAAATAAACTACCTGCAGGGTGAAAAATAACAGCCTGGTTACTCTCAGTGAAACAGAATTCTTGCGTAGGCTTAGTGAAAGTCAGTTAAACTGGTTTTTATCTTCTTTTAACATTCACAATGATGACGGTAGCATGTATGAATTCTGACCTATTTCCCACACAGACAAAAAAGGGTTTCACTGGTGATTGATGTTAAGAGGTTAAAGCCCTCCAAACTGGAGTGAGGAACTCAGAATGCAGGAGTTTAAAATGAAATGACACAGACCTACTGACACACAGAAGATGGGAAAAGGGCATTAGAGTAACAAGTAGTATAAAATGGAGAAGACTAGAGGTCAGTTCACAGGAATACTACACAGATACATACAGTTTACAGTTGCTGGAATTTTCTACATCTCTTTTATCCTTTTCACACAAGCCCTCAAAATAGTATATGTAAAATCAACTGAATAATCAAATAAAACAATAATAGACTTGGAGGGACTTTATACCATTTCACATTCAAAAAACTCTAAGGTTCTAAAATGTTGATGGGTTCCCTCTAATTCCACAGCATTTCTGTTGGATTAAGGCCAAAGTTTTGACTTGGCTTTATCATTTTACACTCTTTGGTAATATTTTAATATTTAATAATATTTTGCATTGTGTCATGTCTTATTGCACAATTCACTATCCTTTTTGATTTATTTAGAAAACATTCACTCCATCAGTGATGACAAGCTGTCAGACCCAGATGTAGCCAAACAGGTCCAAACCATGACATTACCACCACCGCGTTTCACAGATAGGCTAAGATATTTAACCACTTTCATTTAGTTAACATAATTTTTGGAATGAAAACTGAAAGTACATCTCATTTGTCTTTAAAACACAGTTTCAACAGATCTGCAGATGGCAGAACCGCTCTGTCTGGAAAGCAGTGTTTTATCCCTGTCATGCAAACCAGTCTAGCTCAGTTTATACCTAATGGTGGTGTATTTAATGGTCATATATAGCTAAGCTGATTAGTGTAGCAATTCTGAGTCTAGTACGTATTACCGTTTCTACCCAAACCCAATATACAATGATGTAAACCCATACTAGCCGAAACAAATAGTGATCACACACACATATCTCTGCAAATATATGCGTGTTAGATACAACTAAATCAAACCAGAAGGCCATAAAGAGTATGTAAGGCATTCCAGTAGCTGGGGGTTGTCTCTCTCCTCACAGCTCTGTGCTGTGACTCAAGAGCTCCCTTTCACATGTAAACAAACAGACCGGCTAATCTGGGGGGCTGCAGCCCGGAGCCTGTGGTGCAAGGACTGCAGGAGTTATATTTCCACTAACTTTCCCAGAACTGGCCACAGCTGATCCTCGAACCCCAGAAACATCCTGCACCTCTCATTGCTAAGCAGTACTGCTGCCAGAGTTGTGGGATCACTATGATAAATATTTAGAGAGGCCAAGGATTCCAGCACAGAGAAAATATATTACAGATAGACTCATTGTTGATGAATACAGTTACACCGACCTCAACTACACTAAGCTCTGCATTAGGGGAAGACCTATAAAGAGAATCAGACTCCAGGCTATGGTTAAATCAGCCAGGCAGACACCTCTTGGTTTGTAAGCATAACGATCACACTGTTCATTGGTTATAAATGCACCCTTTAGTTTTTGTATTTTATTCTTAATTCTCAGCTGTCAAACTTGCTGTGCCGCAGCACAGCTGGTGTTCTAGGAACGGTTTCTTGACCTGATTTCTCTCCAATATTACGATTGGCTAACACAAATACATTGCACTTTTTGCATATAGAACATTTGTGAAAAATATATGGTGGTGTTGGTAGGAATTTCAAACAACATGAGCAGCATCGTGGAAATCCTAAAGGCCTGTGGTACGTAGCTCACTAATAGAGATTCAGTGACCAGTAAGACGCCCTAGCTTTAGGGAAGACTTATTAGAGCAACAAACTCTTTTTCCAGACTAAATGAAGACCTCCTAAATTAGTGAGATGCAGTTCCTCTCCAGTGTACAGGTTATCTGGCGCAAATTAATTAAAATGCTATACAAGTAGAACTGAATTCAAAGTTACTTGACGTGCCATCTTATAATACCAAAGTTTTTCAGGATGAATTCTGCAGAACATGTAAGCATGGAACTTTATCTGGTCATGCTTCATTATGTAAGTTGAAAGCCAACCAGAAAATCTAGTATTAATATAAAGTTTGCAGGTGAAAGACTAGGAATCCAATGGGATTCCTTCATGGCAAAAAGCTGCACATGAAAGTTTCCCCTTGGTCAAGTTATGAGAATCAGCCATGTGGGTCTGTAGTTCTTTTATCAGGCAATCAGGCAATGCAAACATATAGAATGACCTTAATGAGGCCATTGTGCTACAGGCAGCATGGAGCCTGGAGCATAAGGGGGGTGGGGGCAACAGACATTTTGTCAGTTACACTCGCAGAAACCAGACATTTCTCTTAACTCGTGAAACACTGCCAGCAGAATCAGTACACATGTTTTTTTTTTCCTTTTTAACCTGTGCCGCTTTTCCCAAAACAACACAGGGAACACAGAATGAACTACCCATACCCAAAGAACCTGTCTGATCATGTCCGATCAGTCCAGTCACAACCCCAGTAGTTTCAGCAGTGTCCTGTAAGTCAATTGTAATCTTCCTTGAATGCCTCTATTCAAGCCACCTGCCTTAAGTCCTGTCAGGTGAAAGTGGAGAGAACTGAAAATACAGAGTGCCTCAGGTCAACCCAGAGGAGTCTTTAAAGCAGCTATAAGTGCAGGTTGACACTAAATTCCACAAGAGCTTTCTCCACATGGCTGAGGAACAGGGGGAGCATTGAGCACAGGAGTGGGAGGAGGGGAAAGAGGAACTTTCGATGTGGATGGTGATGAGTATTACTACCTGGACTTGGGTTTGCCCAGTGCAGTGCTGGCTGTGCCTGATCTATTACAGATCATTTCTCCTGCCCTAACTTATTTTGTCAGTTTAGATAGAAAAAGTTTATCTGATTATTTTTAAAAGAAAAGTTACATGCTCTTATGGTTCTTAAGGCATTGTTGGCAGCTAAACTACAGATTTCCTTATTCCTCTTATTTCCAAAAGCAAGAAAGCTTCATAGGAAATCATAAAGTGCTAAAAATTTATACATCACCATACCACAACAACCGTAGTAGAAGATTTATATTTCACACACATTGATTTATATTTCAATGTGTACAATGCAGGAATGTCTTAAAGACATAAAGACCTGGATGGCCGCTAACTTTCTGCTTCTTAATTCAGATAAAACTGAGGTTATTGTACTCGGCCCTGAAAATCTTAGAAATATGGTATCTAACCAGATTCTTACTCTGGATGGCATTACCTTGGCCTCCAGTAACGCTGTGAGGAACCTTGGAGTCATTTTTGACCAGGACATGTCCTTCAACGCACATATTAAACAAATATGTAAGACTGCTTTCTTCCATTTGCGCAACATCTCTAAAATTAGAAATATCCTGTCTCAGAGTGACGCTGAAAAACTAGTTCATGCATTTATTACTTCCAGGCTGGACTACTGTAATTCATTATTATCAGGATGTCCAAAAAACTCGCTGAAAAGCCTTCAACTAATCCAAAATGCTGCAGCAAAAGTCCCGACAGGGACTAGAAAGAAAGAGCATATTTCTCCTGTTTTGGCTTCCCTTCATTGGCTTCCTGTTAAATCCAGAATTGAATTCAAAATCCTGCTCCTCACATACAAGGTCTTAAATAATCAGGCCCCATCTTATCTTAATGACCTTGTAGTACCATATCACCCTATTAGAGCACTTCGCTCTCGCTCTGCAGGCCTACTTGTTGTTCCTAGAGTATTTAAAAGTAGAATGGGAGGGAGAGCCTTCAGTTTTCAGGCCCCTCTTCTGTGGAACCAGCTTCCAGTTTGGATTCGGGAGACAGACACTATCTCTACTTTTAAGATTAGGCTTAAAACTTTCCTTTTTGCTAAAGCATATAGTTAGGGCTGGACCAGGTGACCCTGAATCCTCCCTTAGTTATGCTGCAATAGACGTAGGCTGCCGGGGGATTCCCATGATGCATTGAGTTTTTCCTTTCCAGTCACCTTTCTCACTCACTATGTATTAACAGACCTCTCTGCATTGAATCATATCTGTTATTAACCTCTGTCTCTCTTCCACAGCATGTCTTTTATCCTGTCTTCCTTCTCTCACCCCAACCGGTCGCAGCAGATGGCCGCCCCTCCCTGAGCCTGGTTCTGCCGGAGGTTTCTTCCTGTTAAAAGGGAGTTTTTCCTTCCCACTGTCGCCAAAGTGCTTGCTCATAGGGGGTCATATGATTGTTGGGTTTTTCTCTGTATCTATGAAGCGCCTTGAGGCGACTTTTGTTGTGATTTGGCGCTATATAAATAAAATTGAATTGAATTGAATTATGTGAGCGAAAATCACATTTCACATTTCTGAATAAATGTCCAAAAACAGTTCTACTCGTGTTAAATTTTTTAAGTGTTTACTTGGATCAATTGTGAGCTTTCTGAAAAATCAGTATAAATTGTGGTTGCCTGTCAGTGGTGTTAAACCCCATTTGCCCAGCCACTAACCAAGCCACTGTCAAAGTTCTTGTCTTAACATCACAATGTCACAGTGTGTGTCCCAGGGTTCTGATGTTCTGGCGGCTGGCTTTTGCCCTCTGATAGGGTCTCCTATGGCAAATTGGTCCTGCGTGAGAGACCAGACAAAGAGCAATTTAGAAGACCCTTATAAGCGTAAGATCAAGGGAACAGGTTGGGGAACAGATCCTAACTGTCATCTGCGCTTATCTGCCAAACGACAGTTCAGAGTACCTGCCTTTTTGGAGTTCCTGGGTGGGTTGCTTGAGTGTGCTCCACCTGGGGATTCTGTTTTCTTACTGGGAGACTTTAATGCTCATGTGGGCAACAACACCAAGACCTGGAGGGGCTTGATTGGAAAGAATGGTCTGCCTGATCAAACCACAGTTTGTCCTTAATGAACACCATGTTCGAACATAAAAGTGTCCATAAGTGCACATGGCACCAGGGTCCCTGAGGTAGATGAGGTTCGCCCTGAGTTCCTTTGTCACCGATTCTGTTCATAATTTTATTGACAGAATAGCCAGACGTAGCCAAGTAATGGAAGGCTTCCACTTGGGTGGTCTCGGAATCGCATCTCTGCTTTTTGTAGATGATGTTATTCTTTCGGATTCATCAGGGCATGTCCCACTGGTAGAAAGCCCCAGGACATGCTGGAGAGATTACATCTCTTGGCTGGCCTGGGAATACCTTGGTGTTCCCTCGGACAAACTAGAGTAGGTGGCTACGGAGACGGAGGTGTGGGCTCCGTCTCGGAAAAGGAGATGGAGCCCATCTATTTTCTTCTCCTTGTCCGGGACAAGGAGAAGAAAATAGATGGATAACATACATTATTAATTGCTTGTAGAACATTCAAGTGTAATCATTGAGCATACATATTTATATTTCATTGTATTATGTGAAAATCTATCAAATTTAAAGGGACATGATTGTTCCAAATTAGGTCCTTTTAGACACAATTATACATCCCTGTGAGCATACACAGACACACTGGATTATTTAACAGCTTTTTCCTTTAGATGCATTCCAGTATGGGACAGCTCTTCTCTCTACAAAAAGCCACAAGCCAAAAAGCTTTCATTGTAACGTCTAATGGGAGATTTGTGGCTGGCTTGTAGTTAGACTGTTGAGAGCAGAGATGAGTCAGCATTTTTTCTGGTCTATTTTGTCTGGCATTTTTCCTTTTATGTAGTTGTACCCTGTGCCCTGTTTTTGACTAAACTGTTGCTTTGATGCCACTTTATTGCTTGTTTTTCTGATACAATTTCATAATTTCACACAGATGGAAGCTTATTTGTCTGGAAGACAGCTGCATTACTTACCAGACACCAAATATAAGCTATTGTCTTATAAATACCTACATCCATCCATTCGCTTCCGCTTATCCTTTTCAGGGTTGCGGGGGGCGCTGGAGCCTATCCCAGCTGTCATAGGGCGAAAGGCGGGGTACACCCTGGACAGGTCGCCAGTCTGTCGCAGGGCTAACACATAGGGACAGACAACCATTCACACTCACATTCACACCTAGTGGCAATTTGGATTATCCAATTAACCTATCCCCACAAGCTGCATGTCTTTGGACGGTGGGAGGAAGCCGGAGTACCCGGAGAGAACATGCAAACTCCACACAGAAAGACCCCGGCCTGATGGTGGAATTGAACTCAGGACCTTCTTGCTGTGCGGCAACAGTGCTAACCACCGTGCCACCGTGCTGCCAAATATTCACGTTTACATCCAACCATTGTCATTTCTGATCTTGTTCCCTCCCAACTAAAATCTTGTCTGTATTATATAGCGCTTTACTAGTCCCTAAGGACCCCAAAGCGCTTTACATATCCAGTCATCCACCCATTCACACACACATTCACACACTGGTGATGGCAAGCTACATTGTAGCCACAGCCACCCTGGGGCGCACTGACAGAGGCGAGGCTGCCGGACACTGGCGCCACCGGGCCCTCTGACCACCACCAGTAGGCAACGGGTGAAGTGTCTTGCCCAAGGACACAACGACCGAGACTGTCCAAGCCGGGGCTCGAACCGGCAACCTTCCGATTACAAGGCGAACGCCCAACTCTTGAGCCACGATCGCCCCACGTCAAAAAAATCGGATTTGATGCACTTTCGCCTGCAGTGTGAACGTAGCTTAGATATCACCCTGGGTCAACACACCTGAATCAAATGATTAGTTCATTACCAGCTCTGGAGAACTTCAAGACATGTTGAGGAGGTAATTTAGCCATTTAAATCAGCTGTGTTGGATCAAGGACACATCTAAAACCTGCAGGACACCGGCCCTTGAGGCCTGGAGTTGGACACCGCTGCTCTAGACCACTTTAAAAATGTAAAAGAAACCCTGGCTCCTTGGAAGGATCTGTATGTACATGACAGAAAATAAGGTTCCCCTTAGTCTTGCCAATTAAACAAACCACTGTTGTGTGGGACTGAATGTTGGTTAACTGTTGTTTTCTTGAGGGAAAGAAGTGTCTCTAAGAATGGCTTATACTGGCTCTATCAGTGAATTCTCAGCATGCTGTCACACCCCTGCCTTGTCAACAGTCATGCCAGGGGCCACGTTCCTCCTCTTCATCACTCTAGTGTGAATCTCCCTGAGCGTATTTATCATGAAGCCTTCATCTCTTTCAGTGCCTGCCAAAAGCTGAAGTTGGAGCTAACCTCAAAGTGAGCCAGAGATCTGGCTGCCTGCTGTAGTGTATAAGGTGGTTTGTGTACCTTGGGCTCTGGTTTCCCCGTCATTTTCTTGAGCAACTCGTGGAGGTGTGGCCAGTTGCCCTGGGAGTACCAGCCGGGTTTGTCCAGCGACGGCAGACCTTCGCTCTCCTCCACATCGTTCACTGCACAAGCAAAAATGGGTAATATAAAACAGTCGCAGCAGTTTGACCAACAAGCCAGCTGCTGCAGGAGCAGACACACCAGCAAAACCTCCAGTAATCCAGGACAAAACCACACAACTCAGTGGCAGAGGTACAGCGTCATTTGTGCAGGGAAACAAAGAGTAAATCTCAGTATTTGTGAAAAAACAGAACAGGGAAGTACAAATAGCATCTTATCCTCAGCTTTAATTTGTCTTTTAAATTACTTTATGATTCTTTACTAAGTCTTCAGAATCATTCAACCTTTTAAACCTCTGAGTTGATCATAGGTTGTAAATCTAACCCCAACACGACCCTCACCCTCTATTTCAAAGTCCAAAATTGACTTTTTTGAAAAAAGTTGGAATAATTATTTTCTTATTTACCCAATTGCCAAAATTTGGAAGAGCATTTTAATGAAAATCATACAACCACGAAAAATGACATATTCTGATAGCCCAGGCTAAGAATTTGAATTTGGGTTGCGACTGATGAGGATGTCGACCTCAGAAGGTTAAATTACAGTGCTATTAATCGGGCTAGATTTGCATCTCTTCAAATGTATAAGGCAGGATATGGAAAGATGGAATACATATCCGTTAGGATTTAGTGACAGGATAAATGTGATAAAGATGAATATCTTACCATGATTGCTATATTTATTCCTCTCTCTTCCGATAAGCATACCTCAAACCCAATTCTCAGAATGGGATAAGTATATATCTAGATTTGTCTGGGAAGGCAAGCGGCCAAGGGTACGATACACTACTTTACAGCTTACTAAGGAGAAAGGAGGAATGTCGCTTCCTAATTTAAAAGAATATTTCCGTGCTGCACAGATACGCCAGATAACATATTGGTGTAGTGATGATTACGGGGCTCGCTGGAAGGATGTGGAGCTCTCCACACTCAATGTCCCAATTCAAACAAACATGGGTATAAAAAAGATCCCTGAATACGTAACTAAAGACCAAGATAGGAACCCGATAATATCCTTTACATTAAATGTATTGTATGATACAGTAAAGGAGTTCAGAATTGGTAAAGAGCTTGGTTTGCTAAAATGGATAGCCTTCGATGAAGAATTTAGACCAGGAAAATTGGATCTTGGTTTTAAAAATTGGAATGAAAAGGGAATCACAGCAATTTGTTTATTAATCAAAAAAGGAGAAATTAAAAGTTTTGAAGAATTAAAACGGGAATACAACTTAAAAAACAAGGATTTTTTCAGATACTTACAGGTGAGAGATTACGTTAATAAAAACATAAAAATAGAGGAAGACAAAATCCATCCTATTATAAAAATAATTATACTGGCATATAAAAGTGTTATTCCAAGAACGGTGTCTACCCTATACAAATGTTTGATGGAATCAAGACAGGAATCAACTGTATATGTTAAAGTAAAATGGGAAAGAGAGCTGAGTGAAGAAATCACTGAGAGGGTGTGGTATGAAACATGGAAAGAACATAAGGTGGAGAGAATTCATCTGGAAAAATCAAATTCGCTATTTTATTACACCTAAGATTAAAAATAAACAAACCAATACACAACAACAATGTTGGAGGCTGTGTGGATGGGATGAACCAGACCATACACACATTTTCTGGAAATGCAGAAAAATTCACACTTTCTGGGTTAAAATTCACTCAGCTCTCTGTGATATATTAGGTTATATTATTCCTAGAACCTGCCTTGTTTTGTATCTAGGGTACTTGGAAGGTACTGTAGATGTAAAGGATCGTTACCTGGCTAAGATTCTCCTTTTGGCAGCAAAGAAGGCCATCACCAAAAACTGGCTTAAGACAGAAACACCAGGAAAGCAGCAGTGGGTAGCAATTGTGGAGGACATTATGGAGATGGAGAACCTTACATATAAACTGAAATTAAAGGAAGAACGCTTTTTGAAGGACTGGGGAAAATGGTTGACGTACAACGGAAGGGGAAAAAAGACTGAACTGAATGAAGATGAGCATACAAGAAGAAAAAAAAAAGTGAAATGAACGATGGAAATGTTTGACACCACAGGCATGTTTCCTTTTTTTTCTTTTGTTTTACTTTATCTTATTTTTCTAATTATTATTATATATGTATTTATATTTTTATACATATATTTGTTTGTTCCTTTTTCTTTCTAATTTCACTGTCTTGAGTTTGTGACCCTCTTTGTATTCTGTTATTCTGAAGAAACTGTATGCGTAATGGACAAGTGAGTTGTTCAAATAAATAAAATAAGAAGTAAGAAAAAAAAAAAAGACAATCGAAATGGTAGAAAACCTCTGAAGTTTCTGTTTGGTTTAGTTTGGTAACTTGATTCCAAATATTCCATGACTCTACAAAGACGTGAGCTGCTGTTGATAGAAACTGCATTTCGGCAGCCCTTATCTCAGCTCAGCACTGAAGGGGAAAATCAGACTACGAATGAAAGCAGCACAGTGAAGACTGCCATATTCAGATCCAGCCATGCCCCTCTTGTTTCAATCCAACCTTAACAAACACCACTTGTCAGCCAAGGTATTAACAAATCTCATCTTTTCTCTCCGAAAAGTCAGAGCCATGGTTCTGAGGAGGTAAAACACCCGTGTCATTTTCAGAATACAGAGCTTATGAATAACAACGCGAATAAGAGTTTTCCACTGGTTGGCTACAGGTTTGATGTTAGCAAAGAAGTTCCTTCTAGAGAAGCTGTTTGTTAGTGCAGATAATAAGCAAAAGTGGAACTGGGATACAGACATGTAATCCCCAATGTTTCAGTAATGATTAACTGCACGACGATCACAACATCACATTTAACAATGCTGGGGAGCTTCCTATAGATCATTTTCAATAACTGACTGTTTGAGTTTAAATTGTAAGAAATAAATGTGTGAAATTACAGAAAATATCCTGTAATTTTACACATTTATACTGTAAATATTTCATATAGTTATAAAAACTAATTCACAGCTTTAAGTATGTATTTTCTTACAGTTTTTTTTTGCTAAAATAAACTTTGTGAAAATGCAAATGTGCAAAAAGAAAACTTTCTGAAGCTGCTATATACTGTATGACTGTTTGACTTTCTGCAGTAAGCCTCCTTAGTCAACCTAAACAATGGCAAACGCTTGCTCCCTGTCTGAATTTACACTCTCCTCTCTGTGAAGCAGGATAGAGGGCTCACTGCATCTAAAACCCAGCAGCAGCATAATGATAAAAGGAGTCCTTCACCCTCTGCGATAAAAAAGACAGTGTTCCACAGAGCGAGTTCAAACTCAGGTTAAATATGCTAGAAACATTTTGACAGGAGAGAAAAAACAGTAAGACGAGGGATGAGCACCTGAACATCTGCGAATCCTCATGCACACGTGTATACTCAGCTGCAAGGACACTGGGGTATGAGAGTGATGGGGTCATGTGGTTTGGATTCAGAGCAGTGCAAATGGTGCAGCTGAGATAAGCAGCAGCTCTTAAGAAGTCCTGTTTCTGTAACACCAGTTTTTTCTTCTACTGGTGACGACTTTCAGGCTTCAGAAACTGACGAATTTGAACAGATAAAACTATCCTGTCCCAGAATGACAGGCACTTTACACTAAATTCAGTCATTCACACACAGGTGATGGCAAGCTACATTGTAGCCACAGCTGCCCTGGGGCGCACTGACAGAGGCGAGGCTGCTGGACACTGGCGCCACCGGGCCCTCTGACCACCACCAGTAGGGTCATCTACAAGTACACCATCCAGGTACTTGTAGAGTACTTTTATGTAGTGTTACCTAATCTGCAGATGATGAGGGAGTAAATGCAATTTGTGAATCTGAATGTCTTCAGAATATAGAAGGAAAGTGGACGTTGTTCTTAAACCAATCATTTACGAGCTAATGATCAGCTCTGCGCGCTCACCTTCATGACAATGAATTGAGCTTGCTTGGTGGGTCTTCAACCATCAACTCTAGTGTAATAAATTTGAAGTGTTCTAAATAAACTTTATTGGCCAATAAAAATGAGAATATGTCAAGAGTGCAGAACAAGAAGCAACGATTTCAGTTTAAAAAAAAAGAAAGAATAGAGGCCAGATGCCGATGCTACTTCTGCCAGCGTGGCAAAGCTAAGGGCGAGGGAGAGAATATTTCAGTGAGTGGATCATCCCGTCTTCACACATAATGCATCCCCAGTCTTCTTGCTGGCAGCCAGATAATCCAGACATGGGGAGCATACCAGGAAACTACCCCTGTCCCAGGACACGCCTTCACCACCAGCATCTAGGAGCAGATGTCTGGGGTTGGGGCAGGTAGGAGAAGCTACATTGAAGCTGCAGATAGTGCTGTCAATAACAGAACGCACAGCTGTTTATAATATTCAGGTTAAATGTAAAATCTGTGGTGGTTATAGCTGGAGTAAGCTCTCATTCCCATCAATAGACTACTAAAGTAATAAAAGCCTGTTGTAAATGGAGCAGCACAGGTGTGGGGTTAGAACAGTTGATGTCAGAAAGAACTCCGGGTACTCTGGCTTCCTCCCACAGTCCAAACATAAGCAATTATTGGGGTTAGCTTAATTAATATTTCTACATTGTCCATAGGTGTGACTGTGAGTGTGAATGCTTGTCTGTCTCTGTGTGATAGACTGCCGACCTGTCCGGGGTGTACGCCGCCTCTCGCCTTAGGAATGTGTTTACTGAGGTCACAAGTGAGCCAAGGAGGTCAAGGCTCCCTTGCCCTTTAGTTTTGGTGACTAGCCAAGCTTGATATTCTTGGCTGATAAACTTGCATTCCACCCTCTTTTTTTCAAATAAGGTCACTTTCATAATGTAGAATCCAAAACCAGTGGGTTTGTCCATCCTTTAAACACTCTCAATTGCAAACTAAACATGAGCCAGTGTAGTTTGACCTGTTTTAGTCAAATCATCCACAGGGAATGGTATGGAGGAGCTTTTTACATCTGTAATTAAGCTTTGTCTTAAACTGAAAACGTCCAGAAACCACACCCAATAAGTTGGTGTTAATAACCACTAACGTACACTCTTATATGTCCTGAAACATTCATATTACAGAGGTCAGCTACAGTAAACTTACACAACACCATTCCTTAAAAAGTATTACCAGATCATTGGACTCAAAGTGATGCCACTTTGCTGTTTAATGTGGCAAAGCCAATATATTCAATTGCAGACATGCAGCAGTAATTACACAATATGACAAACACGTACAAGATAATTGAAAAAAGATGTTTTGTTTTTGTTTAATTAAAAGTACTTTTTATGTGATGGTACTCTTTAAAGTGACAGATTATTATTTTTATATATTTGAAATCATAATAATATTTTAATGTAACATTTAACAACATTTTGAAACCTCCAGTCGGTGCAAAATTTATATATTTGAGCCTTTTCTACAGATGTTTTCAAGGCTTAAATAACTGAGAAATGGGTGCGGTGATCTTTTACTTACCAAGGGTTCTAAAGGGCCTCTGCTGGGGCACCAAGGAGAAGAATCCTGGCTTAAGGGCATTTGTGATAATGATGTCAAATAGTTCCTCAAAGTCCTTCCTGTAACAGCCAGAGAAAACTCTTTAGACTCGACAACTCGTGGAAAGCATCCAAGTACACAAGTGCACACAGTGAGGCTGAATGAGCCTAAACAATCAGATGATACAGATGATAGAAAACACAGAGCAATAAACAGTGAAGAAATGCAGACTAAAGTAAACACCGACCTACAGTCATGAGGACTTTAGTATACATGTTTATGAGGAAGAATCTTCCTTATAAGGAGAGAAGCCAACAAGTGGCTCATGAAGCAAGACATAAATATTAGTATGTGCCAAGCTTTAATTGCTTCATGACAAAAGTGCTCATTATAGTACAGTACAGTATATAACCGTGGCAACAATGGGTTTCTGCACATTTTAACAATCATAATTCAGAACTCAAAAGTCTATTTGTACTGAAAAATATATTAATATAATTGTGATCCACACTTTGCAACTATATAATAGCTCTTCTGGGAAGGCTTTCCATGAGGTTTAGGAGTGTGTTTATGGGAAAGTCAGACAGTGATGTGTGACTTTGGAAAAGGAAGGGCCATCCCCAAACTGCCTACACTGGGTCAGGGACAAGGAGTTTAACCCTTTCATGCATAGTGGTCACTACAGTGGACAGCTATTCAAAGGCGGTTTTCTTGTATTTGTATCTGTGTTGATAGTATACTTGCATATAAACCACTACATTGGACACTGCTGTGTCACTCCATACCCTGCCACTCACTGGGTGACAGGGTTATATTTGTTATATTTGTTACATATATTGTTATAAAATATATTTAAAATATATATAAAAAATATTTTTGTTATGTTATAGTTCTTTCACATTTTATTTTAGTAGTTTGTCAAATTCATAAGTCAAAACGTATGTTGTCCACCTAAATGGACATGTAAAAACCTCTTTGAAAAGTGCATGTTTAAAAAAAATTAAGTTCAATTTTTTTTAAATTCAGTTTTGGCTGCCCATATGACCCACTCCCACATTAGCCAAAGAAAATGGATAAACATCTCAACTTTCAGTACTTTATATAAACCAGAAAACATGCTTGGTCAGTGGAATAAACAATCACAGAATCATGAAATGATGCTATTCTTCTGATAAAAAAAGTCTTCATCCAATTGTACCAAATAGTAATGCCCACTTCACTGGACGGTTGGTCAGTATTAGCTTGTACTCTCCTGTTGGACAGAGCTGGCTTTCCTGTGCTATTTCTGACAGCCTCGTGTCATTGGTGTTCAGCCACTATTTGCCACACAGCAACTACTGTGGGCCAGTGACGATTTTCTCTTGAAAAGGACGGTGGCATGATGACAAAGGAGAAGCCCCGTTTCTCAATAAAGTGCTTTCTTAACATATCACACATCATGTGCTGACATGACCCACCAACACATTTCCCTGGAAGAATACACAAACTTTGGCTGTAAGACAACCAAGTAGGATGTTAAAGCCAACTACCTCAATCAGCACAAACACTCCTCCCTAAACCACTTCAGCCTAATTTCTAAGTCTTACAACAGAAATCTGCTGACCTTGTAAAGGTCTGAGTGTGTGTCAAACACACACACTCAGACAGGCCTCTGCTTTCTGTGGAAGACGACAGGAAATGGTGTGAGAGGAGGACATCCAGAGCAAAACGGCTTTAACCTGAAAACTTCACATGGAGCAACAGCTTCAAGCAATGGAGACTGAAAAAAAACCAAACTATCGACAAGGCCAGAGAAGAGGATAAGAGCCGACAAAGAACAAGAAGGGCTTATCTAAGTCCAAACACAGCAGCAACGTGGACACTGTGTTGTTTCAAGGCCCAGTACTGCTGCTTGATCGAGTGTGAAATGGGGCTTAGGCTACAAAAACAAGGCTCTAACCACACTTTGTATAGTGCAGACAGAGGGAAGCTGGTAATGCACAAAGCCAGTGATTTGAACAGTAGCCCCACCGCTACAATTTAAAAACACAGACCTCATCAGCATCCTGCTGGGCAGGTTTAGAAAGGTCAAGGATGAGTGAGTTGAATGAAAAAAAGAATAGGTTAAAAGCCCTATTTGGACTGTTATGGTAAACAAAGCAGATGAGGTTCCAGCTTTGTTAATGGAGGTGCCAGTGTGAAGTATTGGTGTGGGCAGTCTTACCCCAGGATGTGTTCACAGATGAGCCTGCAGTAGTCACTATGGGAGCTAGTGATGAGGAGCAGAACCTGGCCAGCATTTTTCATGCTGCGCAGCCAGGTCTTGACAGAGTCGGAACAACGCTGCAGGTACAGGCCCGGATCCCTCTTCACACTTGGGAAGTATGTCCCTGCATCATCTGTGGGGAAACACAACAGTAGTAAGACAAGTGCACGCTATGTAAACAAAAGTTTACATACATGCTACTATTTCACATTCAGATTTCCACAATCTGACACACCTCGACAGAGACTCCAGTAACAAAGCTACAACAGTTATTTACTATGGTAATAGTTGATTACTGTAGCTGTGAAGCACTACTACCATGCCGCTTGGGGCTTCGTTATTACACACTGAGTGTTTCTTTTTCACTCTCCCTATGTTTATACACCTCTCTGTATTTAATCATTAGTTAGTGTTACTGTGGCTTTTGTCTTGTGTCACTCTCTTCATCTTTTCATCTCCAACTAGTCATGGCTTTGCCTCCCTGAACCTGCTCAGTTGAAGATTTCTTTCTTTTAAAAGGGCGTTTTTCCTTCCCGCTGTCACCAACTGCTTGCTCAAAGTGGGCCATTTAATTTTGGGGGTTTTCTCTATATTATTGTAGAGTCTTTACCTTACAAGACAAGACAAAGCCCATTGAGGCCATTATTGTTGTAATTTTGCACTATACAAATCAAAGTCAACTGAATTAAATTGAACTGAACTCATTTGTTATTTACAGTCCAATGCTAGAACGCCCTCAGCTGCTGAACATAACAGCATTTCCTTACTACCCACTGACCATCTCATTAAAATTGATCCCCACTGTAACATACGTGTAAGTTACAGTTGTGTCATAGAGCTAAACTGACAGCATGTTTCTGAGTGGCTAACACAGGTCTGTTTTTCCTCTGCTGTACCATCATACAGTGCAAATGTAACACTATATGGAAAGTACCAGCTGTTCACAACTGCTAACGTAGTGTCCATTTTTAAACAGGTAAAAATTTTATTGTCTAATCAGATTTTTTTAAGTAATCTGTGGTCATCTTTATCTTTTTACCTGATATAACACTTTAATAACAAAGGACAGCATGCTGACCTCCAGTTATGGTCACTTATTCTAGGATAAAATTCTTTCAGCTGCGTTAAAACTTTGATACAAGTAACTACCTGTAATGCAACGATGCAGAGAAACAACAAAACAAAGAAAAAGAAAACTGAAATCTGCTACCATAAATATGCCAGAGGAGTCTTTGGGTTACTGAAAGAAACCAGCACAGAGGGTAATCAATTAGCTTCTTCGCATATTGTTGCAAAACCCCAAAAAAGCTACAATTCTTTCAAAGACAAACATCAAAGGACACATGCTTCCATTTTTCCTCGTGAGAGACTAAATGTTTACAGATTGAGCAAAGAAGGCTGAAGTGCTTGAACTTTTCCACAATTTTCTTTCTGCTGAGCAAGCTTCAAAAAACAAACAAAACTAAACACACAAAAACATGAACTATATTTAAAGATGCCATACAGAAAAAAACATAAAGTTCTCTTTGGAATCTGTGTTCACAAAAGTGGGACCTAAGGGTCATGGCCCTGCTTCTCCATCACTTCACTTCCTGTTAGTATTACCAATTCTGGCTCATTAAAACATGTAACTCAGTTATGTGTCTCATCACTATAAAAACCTATGAATAAAGGACGATATATCAAGAATACAGATACTGCCTGACAACACATAATACACATGAATACATATAATATTGCCATTCTGCATTGTAAAATGCGGAAACATTATCAAATGGTACCTGGAAGTCTTGTAACTGCAAAAATTGTGACTATTTGTAGACCCAATGAATTCTACAGACAAAAGACCTCACAGTTCTGCGATGGAATTGACATAAAGGCAACAATATACAAACAGAAATATGAAGCAGATGGTATTTGCTGACAAACTTTAATAGAAGCTGTGTTTTTTCTTTTGCAAGCAGAAGAAAAAAGAGCTACATTCTACTTATAGTACACTACTTATCTCTATAAGTTAATACCATTTTTAATATCCTGACATCAGCACCCTCAGCAGACTACCTGACACAGTATTTATAGCAGCAGTTTCAAATTCTTTTCTGTTTAGGTCTATTTTTTTTAATCTGACTAAATAAATAGGTATGTAACAACTACTGCCTGTCATGGGAATGATATGGTTGAGCGGTTTCTCAGTCCTGCACCAAGTCTAAAATGTTTGGGCATGCTGGCCTCCAGTGGCCAAATACAGGACTAACATGGAAGAGGAAAAATGCTCTGTTTTTTTCCAAAAAAGGCAGTACAGAGGTCTAAACAGAAGATGGTGACAAACACAAACAAGCAAAAACGGCTCATTTATCTGGTTTATCCGGTCAGTGAGAACCTCTTAATCCGCATTTTGAAAGTGTTCCAGATGCAAACATTTAAAAAAAATCTCGTCTGAAGTTTTAATTGCATCCACAGATCATTACACCTTCAGCTAAACAGCAAAAAGGGGTCTCAACAACCACGGCCGCTCCTCAGGAAGCACAAAGCCTGTCTTGCCTCATTACCCACAATCAGGGAGGTCATCTGTGGGGGATTAGGGGAACTCTCCTAGCAGCAAGATTCCATGAAGTAGTTACATGTGTTTAACAAACATCGACCCCACATGCCAGCACCAGATTTCAATAACACGCCGCAAAGATTCAGAGATGAAGATGGCTAAAAAGATGATATTGGAGTCCTTATCCAATACCAGCCACAATAAAACATCATAAAAGCACGTGGTAGTTCTGCTGTAGGTGGTAAATAGTGTCCTGTTGCTAGATCAAGGGAAATTCTAAATCCATAGTGTCCAATTTAGTCAATATTAACAGATAGTGCAAAAATTTGTTTGCAGATATACATGCTGACCACAGACACTGGTCATATATCGCCTGTTTTGCTGATATGTCAGTGTCAGTCAATACTGGCTGACAGCAGCAGACAGTTGATATATCAGCACATCCCTATAGAGATCAACACTTCCACCCATTCTGCAATTCATATGAACAAAGATGCTAAAAAAACAAACAAACACTCGAGTGTGATCCCAGAACAGGATGATAGCCTCAGCTGAGTGCTGTTTTGTTTTGTTTTATTTCTTTCTGTCTCAGTGACACCTCCCAAAAACAACTCGGTTTTTTCATTTCACAGACGCTCTATATTTTGTTCTATATCTCTTCAGCCCTCTGTCTGCTTCCAGGCAAATGATTTAAAGCGGAGAAGCAAGCGAAGAAGCAAACCAGAAGTCCCGCAGAGAAGCGCATATTTAAAATGCTGCTCTGGCACCACTGTGAGGCTACTACAGTGTCTGTGTCTAGCTGTGAATATAGGACTGAAGTGCCCTGAGGCCCAGCAGGCCTGTGCCTGGGCACTGCACTGTGCAGGCAGGCGCCAGGCCTGCATAACTGAATAGCTGCTCAGTGAAAGAAAACCACGACCTGCAGCAGGTCAATCTCTTTGATACATCAAAGCATCCTGACAGGATACACAAATCAACAGTAGCACTGGAAATTAGGGCAGAGAACATGAGCATTTTGCAACCAGCCACACCAAAAGTGATGAGGGGCACAATCTACACGTTCATTTATTTTCTTTATCCCCCCAGCAGGAAAGATAAAGGCTAAGAAAACAAATGTGAGAAAAGATCCATTTACTCTTTTTGTCATTATACATAATAAACATCAATCTCTGTATATACACTGTATAAAGCACATGTACTAAATCTCTAAAGGGAAGCTATAATCTACAGTGTTTTGTCTTAAAAAGGCATCCAGACAAACAGCATTTTCCAGCACCTGTTGGAACCACGTGGAAAAACTGGTCGGGCCATTCTGTCTGTGGACTTTCCATTTTTAGCAGAACGACCACAAATTGCTGCATCATGTCCCTTGCACAGTTTTTTTTCCCCTTTCAGTCGGTGACAGTGGAGCTTCACTATCGAAATAACACTCGTGATAACAAAAAGGCAATATACTCTAAAAACAAAGCTGTCAAAAGGAGGTTCCAACTTAGTCCACAACAAGTTTCACGTCAGGTCAAAAAGCCAATCTTTTTGACATTTCTTGCTTTTTTTGACATTGTAAGTCAATTAAACTGTTCATCCTCTCTACATGAAGGTAAATCACTCAAACAAATGACACAAAAGCTGTCACTTTAAAGTAACTTTCATGACTGAAATGAATAAGAACAACAGCTCAGTTACATAAAGTGCAACTACACCTTCAAATCTGAGTTTGCAAATTAGGTGCCAAAGATTGGACCCTCACTGAGAAGAGAACTGTGGAACCCGTTTCCTGTCTAAGGTTTGCTTTTCATTATCGTACCCAGATCTAAAGAAATCTGAGAGACCTTTAGAAAAAGTTTGGACAGGGATTCAATGACAACAAAAATAGTAATAAATAGATTGGTACTTGTACAGCACTCTCTTAGGCTACGTCCACAAGTACACGGGTATTTTTGAAAACGGAGATTTTCCGTTTTCATTTTAAAAAAGAATCCCATCCACACGTAAACACAGAAATGAAGGAAACGCTGCTAGGAACATGCCAAAGCAACAGGTGGCGATATATCCCTAACCGTGTAGAAATGTTGGCCAATCAGAAGTCTAGAAGCCTCGGTGGGAAATAGTAAACAAAGATGGGGCATAGAAGCAGAACCCAGTCCTATGTGTGGAGGGACAGTAACTGTGTGTGTATATGTAAGCATTTAAACACTGCAGAGAGTACAATTAACAGTAACAGTATTGTAGAAATTCATTTCACCGAAACAATAACGTGGCGCACAGTGTGACGTCAAAAAATGCGCACACCTTGGACGCTGCGTTTTCTCAGTTTTTCTTGTCCACACGTAAATGCAAAAATGGAGTTTTCGAAAATATCCACCCTGGCAGGCGTTTTTAGAAATCTCCGTTTTCAGTGACCGAAAACGCCGTTTACGTGTGGACGAAAGGTGCAAACGCATAGAAAAATCTGCGTTTTCAAAAATACCCGGGTACGTGTGGACGTAGCCTTAGTAACAACCTTGTTTACTATCATACAAGTGTTTTCACTTTAAACATAATGTATTCACACTCCGTTGGATACATCAGGGCAACTTGGGGTCAGTTCCACC